GCAGCGTCTAAAATACTTGAATCTCGGAATACCTAATAGTACTCTATAGCCTTAAGTTGTTTGGACTATAGTCCTAGTATATAAAAATACATTTTTGTCTGTTATCTTACATAGCAACTTACTTTTTATACTGCTTGGAAAGGCAAACAAACTGACGGCCCGCTTGTTGCATAATAAAAGTGCTGAATCAGCTAAAACCAACAAACAGGATGTGCCAGTCGTAATTTTACTGTTAAGCAGCCATTCTTGTATGACTGTATTTCAGTGGGATGTGTAAAATTACTAATATCGAAGGTATAATACCATAGTCTTCATAGAATAGCGATGCATAATGGATACTATGTGCAAATCTTCTCAATGTATTTTGTAAAAACAATAATAATGTTCATGTCTATACGCAACAGTTGCCATTAAATTCCAATTTTTGTTATAACTCTACCGCTTATATGTTGGGTACATATCTTTTTAAATATCGTTTTCCCTATTATCATTTTTTATACAATTATTGTTAAACGTTTTATTGCACCAGATGGAAAATAAAAATAAATAATGACATAAACAATTCAAGTTCAATATATGCGTTCATTCCCATTCTTGAGGATTCAGTGTTATTATATTTTAAATTCACGCTATATCTTTAAACCGAAACAAAGCCATGTACAACTTTCTCCACGAATAATGTCCAAGAATCAACTTTTGTAGTAGCGTGGTGGACTATTTAAATAAGTTATTAATGTACTAAAGATTCGCCACTTGGTCTCATATGCTCATACATGTATATGTATTAGAAATAATAAATAAATATAAAATGTATAAGGCTTAAAATACAAGCAAAATATATATAAAGGCTTTTGGTATGCCAATCGTAAAAGAACGCTTCTAGGAAAATCAACTTGGAAATAACTTATTATATTTAAATATTAATATTTTCATTGAATATACCTAATAAACTAATTCTGAACATTTCTCTGAAAACATAAATTCTGTGTAAATTGAAAATTCTATACTACTGGTATACTTAGTATCTAACTTTCATAATTAGGTACTTTAACTACTTACTTGCATGCCTTAAGTACATACTTTAAGTACTTGTATATTATTAATAATCTAAATATATTAATTTTTACTAGTATTATAAATGAGAAATTGAGTTTCTTTGTTCATTTATTTATATTTATTGTCACGATGCATGATTTAGCATGCACGTACTAAATATCTTTTATTGCAGTCAGTTGTAAGCAATGATCAGACATATCGCGCCATCTATATATAGTCTATACAAAGATTGTACTACGAGTGCTGTTAGATATAATTGCTTTTTGCAAAGACATACGTATTATATATATTAAAACCTAAAGTTATACTTATTACTATACAAACAGACACTCATAAATACAAAACAATGTTTGCATTGTATTTATGAATATGATAAAAATGCTTGGCAAAAATAAACTCAAACTAAATCTCTATGAGTACAAAGTTCCTGACATTATTTACTTTCAAATTGTTGATAGTTATGTTCTTTTAATAATTATTTTTTTTAAATTGTCATAAAGTAATTGCATTAATTATATAAATTTATTTACTTATTTAAATTGTAAAGTTTTTATTAAATATTTGTCATTTTAATGATACAATTTTTTTTATTGAACTATTATAACATTTGATTTGCACGCTTGATCTAACTCATTTTGTAAGGTTCTTTTAATTTATAAGATCTAATGTTTTATACCCAAAATCATAGCAAATAAAATTATTGTTATAACTTTTTATTGCACCAGAAACATAAAAATAAATAATGACATAAACAATTCAAGTTCAATATAGTAACATAGTAAATTATATTTTAATCACGTATCTTGAAACATGTCATTCTCCCTATAATATCCAGATTGGTAGTAGCGTGGTGGACTAAGTCATTTAGATCCCTATAATATACATAGTTGAATACAATGATGGCTGACTCACTCAACATGAACGAGTGCTTCTAGGGTAGGAACCGATTTGTTTAAGAATATTGTGCTAACATTTGCAGTTTTTTTTTCTTGCTTTTTAGCAATATGAAATTTGTGATAGTCACTTTATCCATTCACATTTTTGTAGCAAAGTTAATTACTATTTAAAAAAAAGTTTTTATCTTTTTTTTTCAACAATTGAGTTGTCTTCTTCTTGTCCGTTCTACTCACCTGAAATTGCATTCCGAAGTCGGTGGTAGATTCATAAAAAATTACTATTCAAAAATGCTAATAATTGTTATAAGTTTACTTGAACAAAAAGTTTCTTTATTACGTAAGTTATATCAATAATATTATTATTAAAACAAAATCCATATCTACCCTCTTAAGGAGAGGAGATGCAAACTAACCCCCGGCAGAAACAGTTATTATATTATTATTATGGAAATCGAACTCGTTCTTGTTGCTCTCGGAAGGTGAAGCAGTAAATTATCTACAATAAGTTAAACCGCTACACTGATGAGATTGTCAGAACGATAACGAATGGAATATTATCTTAGGCTGGTTCTATAAAGATTCAGCACAAATTGATTAATAGACCTCATAAATACATTGTTACGTACACACCATTCGCGAGTATGATAACGGATGGAATATTGTTATGCTTAGTTAGGCGTGATAATATACCCCTAATATTACCCATTATACATCAACTGTTTATAACCATATACAGTTGATATAAGGGATAATATATTTTAATGTCGGTGAATATTCGATAGTACCCGGTGTATGTCTTCCCATATCCTGTTAAAGATTTAATAAAATTCAATTGTAATTCAATAATATTAAGAGCGTTTATACTCAAACTGACCAAAAAGTAGCATAATTTAATATCAAGTTTTGAAAATAAGTATACAATTTTCAATATATCTGATTGATTATTTAAAAAGTCCCCGGATAGCGGATTAAAATGAATCGCTAAAGAAATCATATGCTGCTCATACCGTGCAGCATACTTACCGTGCGGTCCCAGCATAGAATAGGCCACCCCTTCCTTTCCCGTGGGTATCGTAAGAGGCAACTAAGGGAGGGCGAGGTCTGGGCAGCAGTGTCCCTCTTAAAACATCTTCAAAGCTTAACTACGATTGCCAATCCGTCTGCCAAGCGTGGCAACTATTAGCAAAAACCCTCAATCGAGAAGCTTATGGTCAGCAGTGGACAGTTAAAGGCTGATATGATATGACAATGCTACTCTTAAATCTACTACTAAAATTTTCGCACTAACTTCAAAGATAGAAGCTTTGAACTCTTATAAATACTTATTTAGCCATCAAAATCCAAATTTTCAGTGCCAGTTTAATAAACATCTTGTTGCATTATATCACACAAATCGACCTATAAGAATGAAATCTTATTATTTTTCCGGTTCATAAAGTGGCTTTATCTTTTTATTCAAGTTTAAAAAAGTACGACAAGCTCCTTTTTCCGTTACTAAAAGGTGTAAAATATTATTTAAATTTTATTCCCGACCGTTGTTACGTGGCTAGTCTATGTCAATTTTGTTATGGAAACAATGTCCGCAGACAAAAAGCGTCAGCAGTTGCTCATGTCATGTTTTCGCATTAAGGAATCGTCAGTGGCTGTCGTAGTTACAGAAGAAAATTATTAAATGCATTTTTACACCTATATAATTATTTAATACCATATGTCTAAATAATTGTAAATTAAGTGTATATAAAAGTACAGATTGACTTACATTTGCAATAATCACTAATGTGATTTCCTTAATATATATGAGAACATGGATAACGGTCATCCGTGACAGAGTATTGTTAAGGTATTAAGCCAGGACCACTTTTTACGTAGGTGTGTGTAAAGCTCCATTAAAATCTGTTCAGTGATATTTACGTAATGCCCGAACATAAAAGAGTCATACAAACATACAGGGTATTATTAGAGAGACATAATTCTAAAATAAAATTAGACTATTTTTAGCTCAGTACCAAAAGTCAGGATATTTTTATCGAACCATGAGTAAATTTATAACAAAACAATACTAGTTTATACTTCTTAAATCTGTCTTCGGATTTACTCATATGCCCATTTATTTCTCTATTTTGCTTTTTTTATATATCGACGCCCGTGGACAAAGGAGGAATGGTAAAAAGTATGAAAATTATTTAACTGCTATATTCTCAATATATACTGGCCACTTATGTGGTATAACTAATTAGAAAAAAAAAGAGTTTTTATTATCTACATTTTCAACTTTCTTTTGTTTTTTCTTTAATACCAAATTTAGCTGATTTTGGTAATAGTTCATAAATTCCAATATCTTGTGTTTTATTAAGCCCGATGTATATTGTCGTATTTTGACTATATTATTAAATAATAAAAATAACGCTATAAATAATTTCGATTAAAAATAATAAAATTTACAATCGGTTATTTTTCATAGTCGGTTATTTTTCAGGATAGAGAATTGAAGTGTATGTCACACTTATATAATGAAATTGCAGGGGACAATATTTATAAATATTAATTTAAAATAGTTGGAATAAAGTAATAATAAAATATTAAAAAAAACTATTAAAAAATAAACGACGATTAGTTCATACGAAATTATCCATACCTACGCGTTCCTCCATCCATTAATGTTCATCAATATTACATTCTTACAAATTTGAGACTTACGTACGGAAGACTTTGTACAAAAGTCGATTGTTTGGGTACCTCTGTCCTATTCGTGTTACAACCGTAAAGCAATTGTGCTTGCATGGCTGTGTTTCGGTTTGAGGGTGGGATATGGCGTGAATTCACTGGGTACGGAGGAACAACACCTAAGTCCTCAGGAATGGCAACGCATGGGGGTATCATGGGCGAAATAGTATACTCTGTTATGTCCATGGTACTGCTCATGTCTATAGGCGACGATTACCACTTTCCATCAGGTGGGCCGTCAGCTTGTTTGTCATTCTAAGTTGTATAAAAAAAAAACATTTGTTACCGTCTTACTACCATAGTAACATTGACTTTTTTCTCCAGACACAATGTACGGGTTACTATTGGAGAATATGGCAGAATACATCCGACAGACCTACGGAGAAGAACGATGGGAAGACATTAGGCGGCAAGCTGATGTTGAACAGCCTTCCTTCTCCGTTCACCAAGTGTACCCAGAAAATTTAATAACAAGATTAGCAAAAAAGGCACAAGAGGTTAGTATTTTTTCTAATATTATAAATGGAGTGATTCTAACATATTTATATTATAAACTACTACAGACTGTATTCTAAAGTTAGATTATACATTATTACTAGCTATATCTCACGGATTCGTCTTGATTGAATTCTAATGCTAAAATAAATAAATAATAATAAATTAATATATTCGTAAATAAATGAATCATTAAATACAAAAATATTTATTCAAACTCTTTCTCAAATCCGAATGGTACTTTTAAAATTATAGATATAGCGTCCGATGTCAAAAAAATGTACTGAAGATAAGTCAAGTATTGGGTAGGTGCTTTATTCACTTTTTATATTTTACGAAAATATGAAAATGTAGTAACAGCATTAATAATATTAATAAATAAATAAAATTATGGTATGTATTATAAAAGTATAAAAATATAAGAATACAACAATTTTATATATTCCAAAAAGCCACCTTTTAGGAGAAGTTCGGTCGCTTATGTCGAAGTATTTCTAGAGAGACGTCCTTATTTATCTAGATCTTAATGTTCTAGTTCTAAAACGCAAACGTTAGCTCAAACTAATAAGGGAGAAATAAATGCTCAGTACAATTACCTACCCTAAATACGCTAGTTTACGTGGTTTTATACCTGAAAAAATATAGGTACTAGATTTGTCTGTAGTCACGAAAGTTCTTCTAATGTTCGTGTATGAAATTTCGGGAATTTCCATAGCAGTTCGATTAAACAGGTAGAAGCATTTTTAAAGCGCAAGAAAAAACAACCAACCTGCATAATATCCTTAGATAACGCCTACTTATTGGATAATGGTCGATTTCGTACGTGACATCGTGGCTTTGGCAATTTGCTGGAAGTTATGAGCCTATTCGTGCTAGTCGTATAGTTTTTGGAATATAAGCAACATACCAAGAGTCATTCTGTTCTTCTATTTTCAAATTTATATGAGTACTACATCCGACTTCGTCTGCATTACCAGGATAAAGTTATTGACCGGGATAAAAAATAATCCATGACCTTCTCTATTTCAGATAATATATGTATTTTATAACAATTAAGCCTTCAGTGCCAAAAAAAAAAAAACTTATCTTTTACGGTCTCTTGTGGATAAAAAAGTAGTGATGAAATTTAGATTAAGTAGAACTTAGATTAGATATATAAAAAATTAAAAAAAAATCTTGTCTTATGAGATATGTTTATAAAGGAAGCAGCTTTTCGTATTCAGAATATTTTTATTTTGCAGAATCGTGCGATTCGTGCTATTTACGTGTACTGTATCGTGTTTCAATGCGCAAAAATTTTGTATTTATGCAGAAACTATTATTTGCTCATTTGCAGCTTGCTGTTCAAAAGAATCGCTGAGAAAAAGTAAACAGGTGTTTTATGGGAATGGGCATTACAATTTATAATAAGATTCTAAAATATGCATTAGATATACATCTCACCAAATTTAAAAGTTTTATTAGAAAAAAATCTAATGAATAAGGACTTACAATGTTTATATACAAATAATGATAACTTACAAGAGAAACGTATCAATTTAATTTTTCAATGTAACCACAAAATATAATTTCTCTTATATATATACTAAGTAGTAAATATATATTGAGGTAACTTTCACATACATATAAAAACGTTTATCTGTTTTTAACGTAGCATATTTTGTATAGATACACTCTATTTATATAATTTACCTCTTAAATCTACTTTAGATTACCTTATTTTTGCAATAATAATCAATAGAATCCGATACTGAATTTCGACACTACAGACATCGGCCTGTTAGCTCAGTTGGTTAGAGCGCCGTGCTAATAACGCGGAGGTCATGAGTTCGATCCTCTTACGGGCCACATCTTTTTTTATAATTATATCCATTTTGTTTACTAAAATTTTAAATACTTTTTATTTATTTTAATTTCTAACGATTTTCTTTAAAAACATATAAAATAAGCATTAAGAAAAATTTTTTTAATTTTTTTTAAATATCCTGCGTTAAAATGATATAATACATTATCTATCGATTCATGGCAGCTTGATGTTATAGAAAATTATAAACATTCATATTATTAAGGGCAAGTAAAATAATACACTTTTTCAATGTTGTTATGTATTATTTTCATAAAAAATTCTAATATCATATTATTATATATATGACCTGCAATGTCGTTGGTGTTGTTGGCGACCATGGGCGGCGGTAGTCACCATCAGGTGAGCTGCATGCTAGTTTGCCCCCTGTGTTGTAAAAAAAATTGTGCTGTGCTATTATTATTAAAATGTATTTTTTTATGAATTTAATTTCATCTCATTATAATAATTGTATCAACAAAAAATATAATATATATATATATATATATATATATATAAATAACAAAAAACATTTTTAAACCATTAATATTGTTATAACTGCGTTACGTAATAAAATTAAATAATAATACTAATAATTGTAACAAAAAAAATACAAAAAGAAATCTTTGGAGGTGCTGGGATTTGAACCCAGGACTTTCAGCATGCGAAGCAGACACTCTACCACTGAGTTACACCCCCGATAGATGGAAAGTCGAAATTACTAATCACTACCTTTTGTTATTATAAAAGATTACAATGAAATTTAAAATTTAATGTAAACTAAATGTAAAACTTTAAATTGTATAGATAATGCATCGAGCCTTAGAAACGGGTCAACTTTTTATTAGCTAATTGTTAAATTACCTAAATTGTATTGTATATATTATATATACCTACGCATAGAATGTATCTTGACGTATTATTTAATGGATAAAATGAGTGCTTTCGTATTAAAAAAATATTATATAAGATATTATAAGACAAAATAAATAAAGATTATGAAGGAATCACTCATAAGTATTTATCACGCAAAATTTTATGAAATAGTTGACTTATTTTTCTCGGAGCATTTCTATCGAGACACACTATCTATATAATCTAAGTGTAAAACATAATATACTTATTTTCTCTTAAATTAAAACAAAACTAAAAAATTTCATAATATTACAATTTTAAATTATTTACGCATATTCCATATTTGAATAATTCCTAAAAATACAATAAAGTAATATGTCATTTTAATTATTTATACTACTTAATTAAATATTTAATAATTCTATAAACAAGAATTATCCAGTATCTTCATTAGTTTCTAATTATAAAATAATAATGGCATATTCTTAGAAATACAACAATGCATAGTTAAATTTTCAGGCGCTTATACCGCCTGTGTTCAATCGTCAACAAATATTTATATTTAATGTTAGCAATAACAAAGGAAATGCTCTGTTAAATAAGATTACTACGTGAAGAGGATTTTTAAAAAATCAAAATGTAGTTTTAATAAAAAACAATCATATTAACTGGAATACCCATAAGAAATTACTATTTTCTGTATAATTGACTTCCATTATATATTTTTAATAAGCTTACTGTACAACATCTCTCCCATGTGGTCCCGGCATAGAATAAACCACTCCTTCCTTTTCCGTAAATGTAGTAAGGGGCTACTAAGGGAAATTAAAGGTCGAGGAATGGACACAGCGTCCCTCTTTAAACATCATTAAATGTTCAGCAGTGGACAGTTAACGGCTGATATGAATGAATGAATAACATATTTCGCTGTCCACTGTGATTGCGGCTTTGATTCTATCTGTTATTCTATCTGTTATCTAGTACCCATAGTACAAACTCGTAGCACAGAGTAGAGGAAGGTGTAAAAGTAGTTCTTTGTACTGTGCTTGTAGTTTGGGACTAGATGGTACTTACTATGCAATATGTTCCCGTTTAATGGTATTTATTAATTTATTAAAACAACTGCTGTCTAATTGTTGCAGATTTTAGGGATAACAGAACGTGAATTTATGGATCAAATGGGAGTGTACTTCGTCGGTTTTGTGTCACAGTATGGCTACGACAGAGTTTTATCAGTATTAGGCAGGCATATGAGGGACTTCCTAAATGGACTCGACAATCTACATGAGTACTTGAAATTCAGTTATCCAAGAATGCGAGCGCCCAGTTTTATATGTGAAAACGAAACTAGACAAGGACTCACATTACATTATAGGTCAAAACGAAGAGGCTTCGTATATTACGCTATGGGACAAATTAGAGAGGTGAGCGCCATTTTAAAATTTATAAAAATAATTATTTATAGAAACTTTGTATTATAAATATAATACAAAGTTTCTATAATTTGCAATACCTTACAATTTGAACTTTTCAACTGAGTTCAAAAAGGAAGTTCTCAATTCGGTTATTTTTTATGTTTCTTACCTCATAAGTCCATGAGTTATGAACCGATTTAGAAAATTCTTTTTGTATTTGAAAGACTATACTTATAGATTAGTCATATAGAAATTTTATTAAAATCGTTTTAGTAGTTTAGTTTTTAAATCAAAATAACTGGTTTTGCAACAAGTAGATTTTTTGTGGAATACAATCTGAAATTGTTCATTAATAACATTGTTATAACAACGCTTTATCAATAGTAGGCTATGAAGGTATCTCCTTTCCAGAGGTTCAAGAAAAATATGAAAATTTTCATCCCCGCCTCTGAAAATGGTTTCTGAGTTATAAGAATAGTAATTAGCAAGGGCCTTGCGCGTTGTGTTGTATGAATTAATTAACAACTGTCCTTTCCCCAGGTAGCCCGCCACTTCTACAACAAAGATATGAGGATAGAACTAGTGAGGGAGGAGTTATTATTCGATACAGTGCACGTAACATTCCAACTGACATTCGACAACCGAGCATTCACGCTCGCATCGTTGGCGATGACCAGAGAAGAGAAGCATCTCCCTATCAGTGCGTCGGTACTGTTCGAGATATTCCCATTTTGTATCGTATTTGGGTAAGATTTTTAAATCTTTTTTAGTTTTAAAAATATTATTTTGTTAGGACTACTAATTCAGGTATCTTTACCTCCTGACTCTGATCCGGACAATATTTACAAACTAAATAGATCCAAACTTTTCTCTTATCTACTCTATGTAATTATTTTTTGGTTTATCTCTTCTTCTATTTACTATCTTTTCTTCCAAGATGTTCCTTATATCAGTTTTGTCGTAGATTAGATGGTTACACATCTTGCCTCACCAGTTCTCAATTATTTTTATCAGTGTTCTTCTCTAATTTATTCTTGAAAATACGTATTCATTTGTTAATTTTTTAGTCGAATATACTCTGTAGGCTTTATTTTAATTTACTCTAGCAAGAAATCGCATAAATCTTTCGACTACACATCAGTTAAACAATCTTTAATAAAAAAGACGTGCTTATGTTTCTATAGATCGCTATAATATCACATACGAGACACGTTTACGCCTTTTTATTGCTGTCATGGGGATGTTATCGAAAATAATGAAATTTTTATTAGCACTTCCTGAGCTTACTGTTTTCCTTTTAGTCTATATTTTAGAAACTACATCTACCTATGTATTTTATATCCTTACAAAAAGGATTCGCTATAATAGGTACTTGGATAAAAGTTCGCAGGTAGGTACAATCTATCAACATTCAATCGGAGAGCTAATTTATAAGTACTGCAACAATAATTCTTTGAAAATGTAAATACATTTTAAAAAAATATCAAATTCATTAATTTTATATGTTTGCTTTTTTAAGTCTTGTTTCATTTTATACATTGCAAGTTTTTACCCTTGAATTCGTTCGTATGATCGGGATACGAATATATTGATTAACTGAAATAAAAGCTTATGACCTTCTCCATTCCAAATAGCTATTACTGCTCTAAGAGGTAATAAACAGACTAGCTTTCACAATTATAATATTAGTAAGGATTTTAATGAATACATTTAGTACCAGGTCATTACCTTTGTAATTATATTCAGCTATTCTATCTATCTGGACAGGGCTATTACGACGTTAATGCTCTCTTCGGGGTAATGTAAGTGTCATACACATACACAATACATAATATGACTTTAGTTAGACAAACTAAGTTTTAAACACTTGCTACCTAGTGGCAACACCAAGTTTTGGGTGCAATATTAAAGCTGCACAATAAGTAGATATCCCATGTGGTGTCTGTCTAGTCAGGAATTAATTTATAACTTTCATGCAATTTTTATTACTGTTGTTAATTTTATAGGTAAGTATTTAATTGTCTGCATAATCTACTCCAAAAAGTCCTAACATACCGGTAGATAGATATATCCATAGATTCAGTACCTTATAGTATCTCTCCTAAAAATACTAGTAGAATGTTAATAGAATATTATAGTAGGTATGGTGATACGTTTTTTCTTTTAAAAGAGTCGTGTATGGTCCAATTTAATAACAACAAAAATTTAGGTCCGTTTTTATTGTAATCGTTGTAAATCGAGTTAATTCATTAGTCTCAATATTGAGCAAACACTTTTGACTACCCCGTTCAGACACGTCTGCTCAAGAGTATATAACCTTTTCGTGCGTTATTACCTAAATACTGGTTGTTATTTACCACAATGAAATCTTAATTTAATTTTTATTTTTATAAACCAAGATCAACAATTATCAATAATTCGTGATTACAGCTGTAATAATAAAAGTAAATTAATTCCCTATACATGTTTGTGATGAAACGGTTTATGATGAAATTGAACCTGCTTTTAAAAAATCCTCTATTTTATAGGAAAAATATTTGATGATTAGTTACTTTATCGTAATATAATTACTAATCCTATTATTCAATATTTACTACTGGTAAGTAGCGTCTAATCCTATTATTATTATTATAGTTTTATTGTTCATTATATGTGTATAACGAACAATAAAGATATTCCTTCTTAATAACGTACATCAGATACACCTACCTAGCCCTATGTCATTCAAAACGTTGACCACAATTATATGTAAATATCGGGTATTTTCCTTTTTAATAGATCAGAATGTTCCTAAAGCTTTCTTTTGTTTCATTTATCTAGGATCAGTGTGGTATGATTTCCTTTTCCGTCGGCTCTATTGAAAACAGTTTGCTCGTCATTAAAAAACAAGTAAAAATGTGTCGAGATAAGTCGCATAGATTTATATTAAAACAAAGACGTAATTAATGAGTGTGAATAAATGAGTATACTTTATTATTGTACAATGCAACAATATAGGGAATAAGCAAAACAATTAATAAATGTAACGTTACAGTTGTATAAGTACAATAAGACGGTTTAATTGCTGAAAGCAATCTTGTCAAAACAACCTTAGGGTAATGGACTAATTGTTGTACAAGTAGGCATAATTGTATAATTATAATAATTGTATAATTAATTATTGTATAATTAATGTACAGAAGAGCCTTAAAAATTTTTTAGTTACAACTCTTGCACCATAGATGACCCTAATTTAAGTATTTTAAGTAGGAGGTAGTACTTTAATTTATACCTTCATTAATTAATAAGGCCCTTTAAAATTCCCACATATACAGACATAGCTATATGTAGTACTATGATATATATATATACTGTACTTTTGTTTTACTGGCCGGATACTGGGAATTTCCATTCGGCTCAGTACGGAAACTACATTGAAGAAGTACAATGTTAACAGATCTATAGATATTAATAAGACTTATTATGATAAGATACAGCAAAGACTCTTGGAACCAATATAACGTAAATGTTGTATGCGAATTAGGAAAACAGACGAACTCGGATGGAAGAAGAGATGTATGTACTTTACTGTAGATGGCGTTGGCACTCGGTTCGGTTTTCTGTGACATATAAGCACAGATAATATAATACTATACTATAAGAGGCATTGGGTGTAAAGATATATAAGGTTTTATTTACTTATTTTTAAATAAGTTGAAAAAACAAGAAGGATCTATGTTCCACTGTATATTTTTTCTATGTATGTTCACCGATTACATCGTCAATTGTGGATCGATTTTTTATCTAATCTATTATATTTAAAATTTAAATTTGACAAATGTACTTCCATCTATACCTCCAATGCAGTAGTCAAAAATAAATATTTGTATTAACAAATTATAAGTATTGACTTATTATCGTGATGAATGTTACATTCGAGATGCGTATGTTTCGCCGAGTATATTACAATGTGCTATTACTGAGATTAATTTGGTTTGTTGTCTTATTAAATTTGTTGTCAATATGTTTTCATTGCGGACAGAACTGATCTAAAATTTGAATCACCACTTAAAAATGTGGTATTAGCCAGAATTAAACTTACAGCCTTTGCGGTTTATAATTCGGAAAAGTATACCATGGAACCATGATGCTCACATTTTTCACGCTTTTTATCTACCCGTAATTAAAGTGCGCTACCAAAGGTAACCCTTCCCTTCCCCTGTGTCTCATAACATAGAATAAATTCATTTAAGGACCAGGAAAAAGCTGTAGTGTTTGGCATTTTTTATTACTAATTAAGTACTTGTTTTTAGGTCAGACATGGTAGTACGCAGCATCGGCAACTCCCTAATGGTAATCTTGCCTGATCTAGTGGGGAAAAAGATTACCAATTGGTTTGATTTAGTGCGACCACTTATCGCATTCAAATTTCAGACTGTAAGTATGCGCATACCTACTACATTTTGTTGTAGTATAAATTTGACTATACGTACTTATTTCTAAATAAATACACATGTACTGTTTTATAATAATTTTGCAAAAATAAATATACATCAAGGCCACTTAGAGTGGAGTTTTATTTCGTTTTATTTTCTTCTCTTGTACTTGTGTATTGTGTTTAAACCACTTAATCGCCTCTTACGACATCCTGCGAATGAAAAGGAACCTTCTGTAGCTTAGAAATAAATAGATAAAATCACTTACCGTCTTAACCTTATATTGACCGTAAAATATACGTACGATCTAATATAAAAGATCGTTTCATCACTTATAATTTTCCACTGAGATTCTTTGTGGATATTAACCAGGAAAGAATTTTTAAATAGGAATAAAATTGTTTCTCTTGGGAACGGGAAATAATGAAATTCGCATAAAGTTTGAGAACTGTAAGTCGACTACGAAAAAAAAACTGTAATTAAAGGAAAAAGTTCTGAACACTTTGCCTTATTTATGATAAATAAAATAACTAAATTCTAAAAAACCATGAAAACAATATTTGAAAATGTGTTATATTTATTTATTCTTTATTAAGCGCATCACAAAAAAAAAATATATTCGGTACAAAAGGTGAACTTATGCTATATTATCATTCTCTCTCAGTCAACCTTTGAAAACAGAAAAACCGATTTTGGAAAATTCTATGCTATTTACAAATAAATTACCGCACTCATCAAAACCAGATAATTCAAGCATAAATACAAACAATCATATACTGATAGACTACTAAACACACAATATTTCGGTTTTGCTGTAATCGAGTAAACACTTTCTAAGTACGAATCATCACATTTATTTATTCCGTACTAGTTTTTACTCGTACACCCGACTTTATTCGCGTGACTGGCAGAAATAATGTTGATTGATCAAAATAATAAGTAGCTAAATGTCTCTCGCCATCCCAAGTATGCCTTTCATATCTATTGATTGTACTATTAAGATAAGAATCGCCAAAAAAACAAACTTACTCCCAATATAACCTGCCAATGAAACGTGAGATGTCTATTAGACCCGGCTGTGGATACGAAATGACTCGTATTATAATTCGTGCAAAACTTTATTTTAACCCTTTTGAGCAACTTCATTATTTGAGAATTTATTGACGTAATATTCTGGGTTTCCAACTATCCTTGGGATTAATTTTATTTAATCCGGATCAATAATTAAACCGTGAAATTGTTAATAAATGTGGTATACCTGAGCGTCCTTATTTAATATTATAAAAGTTAAAATGGGTTTGTTATGTCCATAGAACCTTAATGGCTTAATCAATTACTGTGAAGTTTAATAAACACATACTAATATGGGATGCAGAAGGACATAGGCCACTTTATATCCCGTTCTTATGAACGAAATTGCGTATAAAAGCTAATTATTAATATAATCAGAATTTCACAACCTAATGGCCTTTCGTCAGAAATAGAGGGGAATTTTTGTAACGAGTAAATTAGTAATATCAAGTTGAATTCCATGCGATCCCGCTTTGAAGCGATCGTGGTCTTCATGAATTCGTCACAGTGAATCAACTTGACTTTCTTTCATCCTCACTTATCATCGGACACTGTTCCATTATTATCCATAAAAAAATTGACACCGAACGGCTACATTTTGACTAGCTACACTATCCCTCTATAACAATATTTTAAATCGACATCTAAATAGAAAGGAATTATGTTGTATTTTTTTATTTTTATTGTAATCTAATGTTTTTGTTTTATTTTTGTTTTATTGTAATCTAATACAATTAGTTGGCATTAAAATGTTATATTACGATGTTTACAATAATAATTTTCTTAATAGTCTGTTTTGTTTCTAAAAAGAAAAATATTTTTAAATTAATCTATATAAAATAAATAATTATATTTTACATTTCCATCAGATTCTCAACCGTACCAACAACATCTTCGAACTGGTTACTGTAGAGGCTGCTATGCATGAGAAATCTACGGATAAACGAAATGAGCTGATGCGCCTGTCTGATGAATCGGAAGCTGTCACAGAAAAGAATCTTAGGCTTAAAGGTAAATTATCTATTTAGACTATTTTTTTACGTAAAAATACGTGTCAAATGTTCCTGCAAAAATCACTAGCATCCATTTAAAGATACTGAAACTGCCTCAAAGAAACGCAGGTCGAAAGCAATGTCGAAACACAATGAAGAATATTAGGCCTTGAGACATTGAGTTGACAAGTAAAAGCAATACACACAATTATACCTATATTTTCATTATAATAATAATAATTAGGTTTTTCTAGGTTTATAATTTATAAAAGATGTAATAATAAACCAAGTAATATTCTAAGAAAATGTCTGCCTCTTTGCATTACAACACAGATTTAGAGGTTTAACTATTATGAAGAAAAACAAGGGTGAAAATTTAAGATATTGTTCTTATAACAGAACCCACATCAACTTTGTCATCTAAGGTTTTCCTGCGTCAATTTATTCAGTTAATCCTTCAGCCAACATTAGGTAAATATATAATATACGGAATCAGATTATCTAGGAATATTCAGTTGAATATAATGTAGTATTTTACAATAAAATATATTGGTATCTATATTTTTACGTTTTTGCACTGTCCACAAAATGTAAAAAAGGGAAATGTAAAATAAAGGCAGGCATTATATATCCTGTAACAGGATCACGTTGTGACTATGAATGGGTAATAAAAATGGCAGTATGTGTCATAAAAGCCTTCTTATGGCAGTATTTTGTTATAAATAAAATTAAAATTTCTACGTTTTTAGGCAGGTAGTTGTATATTTAAATTCATAAGTACCTTTATACTTAAGTAATCAAAGCCATTTTTTGTACAATTCCAGTAAAAACGATTGCAGGTAATGTATTTTGAGCCTAGTAGCTTATTGAATCTTTATATATCAATCCGTATTCTAACCTTCTTTATTCATAAAAACAAATGTTTCATAAACTTATTTTTAGCTATTGAAGTTTTTTGTTCTTTTTTTTTTTACGTTAAATTGGCGCTAAATTTTTAACTTAAGAGAAAGTCACAATTCACTCTAATATTTACATGTAATATATAAATAAATATATAAGATTGATTTTTATGAATAAGGTTTATAGACAGATTAATTAGTAATGATTTGCTAGAGTTATTTTTTTTACGCAATATAGAATAACAATCAAGCCGACGGCCCACTTGATGATAAATGGTATATATAGACATGAACAATACCATGAACATATCAGAGTATACTGTGTCGCATCTTGATATCATACATGCGTTGCCATTTCTGCGGACTAAGGTGTTACGCTTCTAAATCCTGTAATTTTATTATTATATCCCACCCTTCAAACTAAAATACAGCTTTGCAAACAACTGCTTCACAGCAGAAACACGAATGGGACAGAGATATCCAAGCAGACTACTTTTGTACAAGGTCTCTCTCTGGTTATCACTAGATAGTAAAATAATTATTTTACCTAGACATAGACATACACCTACATAGACCTAGGTCTTGTAGTATTATTATACTACAAGACCTAAGTTTTATAGTATTATTGTATCATCATGGCAAATAACAAATTTTTGAAGTCATTTCTACATTTGCTCTTTTGTTAATTAATATATGTATGTGAGTAGGTACACATCGATTTAGTTATCACTTTGATAATTATAATTTTTTTTATTTATGATGTAAATAGATATCCCATCAAAAATATTAAATGTAAAAATATGCTAAATATCGCAAAGCTGTTCCTCCACTATAAAAGTCGTGAGATCTCATGTAAAACCAAGTCACTTATTTTAGTTAGTACGAGTATCTATGGAAGCATCTATTCAAAAAGGATGGTACGGCTGTTCTTGATTTAGCGGGAGCACTGCCGTTCCACCTGATTACTGTCATAAATTTGTTTAAAAAGAACAAATTTAGTTGTTAATCAAGCTAAAAGAATGAAACTCAAATACACGGAAAGATCTTCAGAATTAAAGAAACTAAATAATCTCGCTAGCATTCCTGTCATTGCAATAACAACTGTATTTGTATTAAACTTGAAATTCATTTTTCTTCAAGTCGGCGTATTTCTGTTTAATAACTACGTAATCATTATTAATGTATGCTCTGTAACTTGGGCTCAGTAATTCTTACCCTAACCATTATACATCGGAGGCGGATCAAAGTAAATTTTATTTATAAACTACCTTCACCCGCGGCTCCGTCCGTATGACCGGAATTTGTGTGAATTAGATTAAAAATAGCCTTCCTTCTCTATTCCAAATAATATGTATATGTCAAATGTAATGACCATTATTTATGGCTTAATATTATTCATGCATACATATCTTTTGTATTATACGGGGATTGAACCCTCGAACATTGGAAAGTCAAGGTATGCGTGCTGCTCCAAAGTCCTCATATTATATATATTCCCTATGTCGGTACTTACGAGTACATTTAAAGTAATATTATTAAGAGAACAGATTGGCCTTTTTTTTTGTTCTTAATGGATAAACTCAAAAATTCATAACATAAACAATTTTCAAAAAATATTTCACTTATAGGAAGTTGTATTATCAGCGAATAAAATGAATATTTCATTAACAAAAAAAATTGAAATCTTCTACTTATCTACCTACGCGAAGCCGGGACGGATTGTTAATATATTATATTTATATTATTATTGGGATAAAACAATACTATAATTGATAATATTTAAAAAGTTGTACATTCTATACTACTTAGATGGCATAAGTTTGTCTGAAGAAAGTGCTCACAGTAGTAGGCAATGTAGGCAATCCTACATAATGGTTGGTGCGTGTAATTGCAACTCAACCACTCCAGTCTTTTCTTTTATAGTAATAAATAAGCATACTATACAATGCCACCACAGATAAAATAGTTAATGCATTGTATATTATATTTCATAAATAAACTCTTTACTGAAGAATACTACATGTAACTCAGTTATATTTTCCAGACTCGCCTACAAAGAAACGTTATGCGTATGACGGGAGACGATTGCCTGATACAATTAAATTACATCTCAAAGGTAGTCTAATAGAAAACATCACCTTAGGCACTTTACTTGGCCTCACTCACTAGAATGTGTAATCAAAGCACCAAAATGTATTTTGCAAAATGTCTGCAAATCACATTATTGTTGTTGTTTAGTATAGTTCAAGTTGATTGCACTTGACAGAAATCTTAAGCTGGAGGCAAGTTGAGAATAATCGGATATTTATAGGCTAGATTCATACTACAATAAGGCCATGATTCGTTCTCGATCTGATCTCGGTTTGGTAAAATATTATCACGTGAAAAATAATGTATATATTTATAAAATCTGTAATAATTTATTTCCTTACCAATTACGATCAATCTTGAAGTGTTTGTGCTTGATAATATTTTATTAGACTGAGATCGCACCGAGAGAAAATTGTAGCCAGTATTGTACTGTGAATCTAGCCTTAATGAGCCTTGTTTTTAAAGAGAGATAAAAAAATCTTTCATTTAAAGGGATTAAAAAAGTTTTGATAATATCATAAAAGACTTAACATGTTACATTAGACCAAGATTTATGGAATTACGTCAGCATAGTTGAATATTTTACGCCTTTTTTATTGTAAAAATACAAAATATACATTTAAAAAATATATATTTTTATTATAATAAGTCACCTTAGTACTAGTTGATGCAGAAATGGCAGATTTAAAAAAGCCATTGAGAATAAATCTATTTCTGTGAATATAGCATGTAAGTTAAATTGTAATGAATAGTTTTGTCTGGTAATAAAATTAAAAAAAATCATATGTTATTGTGTTTGTCTTTACAACGCCGAGCTTTAGTATATTGCTTTGATAATATTTTATTAATTTAATCTAACTCATACCTACATTTTTTCATGTAAATACAGAACTACGAAAAGATCCTCGTTGTAGATTTCTGTCAAAAAATTAAGAGAATAAATTTCAGTTATATTATCACGCACAATTGCAACAATAGGTAATTGCACAGAATTTCACCATAGATATTATTTAGTATAAATTGTATATAATTTACACCAGTATGTAATGCACCAGATCACGTTCACGAAACATCACACACGTATATCTACCCTTAATATATTATTATATTTCACAACTATAATTACTAATGGGGTACTCAGAGGCATATTTGTTAATAGTGAAATACTATTAAAGTTATTCAATATGTTTACCTAATTTTTAGTCCACACAATAATTACTCCTACAATAATTACGTTCACATAGCCTTTATATATATATAATATATATATATATATATATATATATATATATATATATATATATATATATATATATATATATATATATATATATATATATATACATATATATATATACACAGTTATATATATATATACATATATATATAACTGTGTATAACCATACACAGTTGATATAAGTGCTGATAAATATATATATATATATATATATATATATATATATATATATATATATATATATATATATATATATATATATATATATATATATATATATATATATATATATATATATATATATATATATATATATATATATATATATATATATATATATATATATATATATATATATATATATATATATATATATATATATAATAGATACTGCTGAAAATCTTTATAATATACAGGTATATTATAAAGATTAGCTTATCGCTAATAATATACAGGTCAAATGATCTACATGGATAACTGGAGGCTGATGATGTATCTCGGGACCCCAGTGATGCCAGATTTATCAGCGCTCGTGTCAACCGGCTTATACATCAATGATTTGTCTATGCACGACTTTAGCAGGTATTTTAGATATATAAATATAAAATGTAATATAAATGATCCAGCCACAGCATATGAAGCTGAAGAATTTTATTCTAGGAAGGACGAAAATATCGCAATACAAAAGAATTATTGTCCTTCGTGAAAAAGATACCTCAATATTTGGGTCCAGTAGTGACATCTATACAGTAATAGTCAATATTATATTAAATAACTAATTTTTACCAGTGACTTTGTCCGCATGACGGAGACAATATTTAAAAAAATCTATTTATTATGATTTAAGAGGCACAAAAGTTACGTAATGAAAATATAACAATAAGAGAGTATTCCTATTCGTATCATCAAATACGTCTCTATAAATTTAGAATTATATTGTTATAAAATGAAATAAATTAAGTATACTTTAATTTGATACAAATGTTTCAGAGATCTAATGCTAGCTGGTACTCAACAATCAGTGGAACTCAAATTAGCATTAGACCAGGAACAACAGAAGAGCAAAAAACTTGAAGAATCCATGAGAAAGCTTGATGAGGAGATGAAGAGAACCGATGAGCTGTTGTACCAGATGATACCCAAACAAGTTGCAGATAGGCTACGGAATGGAGAGAATCCTATAGATACTTGTGAGGTGTGTTGTAAAATTTGTTGTTACCTATTAGTACCTATCTTATTTTATGTACGAGTATCTTCCAAACTGTCCTCCGTGAGATATAAATAAAACAAAAGCGCAACATCCGCGTCTCCGTTACTAGCAATATACCCTATCAAGTTACCTCCACATGGTTCCGCTAGAATCAATCGTGATCAATAACTGATTAGTTTATCACGATGGCCCAACTGGCCTGCCTACATCTTCACTGGTGAAATGAAATAAAATTAAATAAAATGTCCGATATCTTTTCTTCAGTAAGCGAGTACGAAAACGTACCTAGCGATAGTTTAATTTGTTACCTGTCTAGAGAACAAGTCACTAATAAGTAAAACAAAGAAAATAATTAAGTATTGATTTGTATAATCTACTACTACTGTATCTTATATATTTCTGATATAAAGCGAGTATGTACATTGTTGTTTTGGTTTGAAGAGTAATACCGCGTTTCCACGAAACATATATTATGAATTATACAAGTACCCAAATACATATATATATATATATATATATATATATATATATATATATATATATATATATATATATATATATAGTATATATATATATATATATATATATATATATATATAAACAAGACAATTTACAAACACAACGACACAATTGTATAAGTACAGTAAGGCTATTGTATAATATAGTTTAATACGTATATTATTGTTAAAATTATTTTCTATTGGACTCTTATATTCTCTTCATATCTCTATATTTCGAAGGAAAGATAGACTGATGTCCAAAGTCTTTTTTATAATCATTTTACAGAAATCACTTCTGTGATGAAGCGATATATATACAAGTTTAGTAACTTGTATTTCTGAAATATATTAACAAGTTGTAAAGAACTAATTTTATATATGCTATATATGATTTTAATGTAAAGTATTATTTTAAAAGTCATTTTACTATTGTTTAAGTAATATAATACTTCCAAATTCATATCTGTAAAAACCCTGATATGGCCATTTCATATAGATTATATTATTATACTCTATTAACGGGAACAGTGGTGGTGGAAAAAATGAACTTTCAAATCCGAATAACTCGATGAAATTTAATTATTATATTTTAAGATTTAGTTAATTCAATAAACCCTTTAATGGCCCTTAATAAAATCTGACACAATAGACGTGACAAGACAAGGCTATATCGACTTAACTATAAGTACCTAGTAATTTGTTGTAAACTTCTCTAATCCTAATAGCTTATACTTAGATAAACTTCAAAACTACACTAATGTATATATGTAAATATAATTACATATACAAAATATAATTTCTTTTTAAATAAAATATATATTTAATAAAAACATGTCTATATAATATGTCATGTAGGGGCATGACATATAGACATATGTTATATAAAATAAATAATAAATATAGGATTTACTTTTAAGACTAAAATCATAAAAAAATTGTTAATGCTAAAACGCTATTTATTAGTTACGTACATGTATAACAAATTTCATGATGATTGGTTAAGCAATTAAGGCGTTGAGATATTTTAGTATGTAAATTATCCGTGTTCTTAGTTAAGACACAACTTAATCATGTATAAAATTTGTTCAATAGTTTTTGCGTAAAATAATAACAAATATCCATTCATACATCCTAACAAACTTCTAAGTTTATAAAAGTATTTGTGTAGAACAATCAGAATTGACAATTTATGAAGGGTATAATGGGCGGCACAGTATACTCTGTTATGTCTGTTGTTCATGATATTGTTCATGTCTATAGGCGACTGTTACAACTTTCTATCAGTAGGTAGTCATAGTAGTAGTAGGTAGGCAGTCAGCTTGTTTGCCATTGTAATTTACATAAAAAAAAAAAAAATTAAATTAACGATTTTTATCTCACAAATAAATATGCCTATGATCACTACCATATTTACTGTGAGAATGAAAATATTTCAATAAATATACAATTAATTTTAAACTTTGTCAATGTCCATTTATGATAGTCGTACGTAATATTTTAAAACTTTTAATTAAGATTGTTCGAATTATAATTTGAAATCATGTTTGATAGCTGAATTACTAAGTGGTTACGATAGTGTCTATACAACCGCAGATGTTCGACAGCGTATCGATCCTGTTCTCTGATGTGGTCACCTTCACTGAGATTTGTTCCCGCATTACGCCGATGGAAGTCGTCTCCATGTTGAATGCTATGTATTCGATCTTCGACACTCTCACTGAAAGGAACAGAGTTTACAAGGTAATTTTCATATTAAATACTTTTTATTTCTTTATTCTTTAGATTATTAAAAAAAGATAGTGTTCGTATTCAGTAAGGTTCATGTATTTAAAATTTTCATTTTAGATTTTAACTACTTATAAAATACGAGTATATTTTAATTTAACTGTACACATGTTCTCATTAGATATAAAGATGAATCCCAAATTCTACTAAAAGCTAACAATTTCCAGCTTCAACAGGACTTAAAGCATTTACATCAGCGTCAAGTACATATAAGTTACTTCGTACTAGTTATCGTGAATATAATACAAAAATTTTAAAGTACCTTACAACGAAAATTCAATAATGCAAAAAAATTGTATGTATTTAAATATAGTGTATCACAACAAACATACCTAAGCCATCTGTATTTATAATATAAGTGTTATTCTAAACTTAAAATATATATTAGAAAAAAAATTCGCGTATATAAGGAAAGTTGGAGTATATTTTGTTTGCATGGTATCTTCTAGATCAACGTATACGTGAAACCATAGATTACGGTAACCATTTACCATCAGATGTGAAGTATCTACACTTATCTGCCACTTTTGTGACATAAATAAGGGCTAATAAGAATGAAAATAATTTGTCGCCAGATCTTTAGTCTTTGAAAATTGGACTGGGTGAATGTTGAATTTTTGTAATTTCATCACACCATCCAAATTACTATCATTTCAATATAAGCAATATTTTTTATTACATAGGTGGAAACTATAGGAGACGCGTACATGGTAGTCTCAGGAGCACCAGAAAAGGAAGACAACCACGCGGAGAAAGTGTGCGATATGGCTCTTGACATGGTGGATGCCATCACAGACTTGAAAGATCCTAGCACAGGTAAATTATTCTAAAAAAAGACTTCAGAAACTCAAAATATTTTTTTGTATCTTTTCTACCTCTTGGTGATAGAATAGTTTAACCAATCTTCGTGAAACTTGAAGTACTTAGCGTTTAGGACGGAAAAGGTCTAAGCTATACTTTTTCAATCTATCAATTCCCGGTCACGCGAGCGAAGTGAACGTATATCATCATTAAACACCTATCGTGTGTTCATGAAACAGCAGTACTAACTGGTGTAGTATTTTGATATAACCAAATTGATCTAGAAACTTTCTCTGTGTATAAATATATATAGGTTCTAGTTGAATTTGTACATTTTTTAATAGAAGTTCCAACTTTTTTATACGACTCCAAGAAGGAGAAATTTCTCAATTCCGCTGTATTTTTTGTGCGTAATCACACAATATTTTTGCATATTCTAAATCGATTTGATAATTTACTTTTGCAATCAATACTGTTTTCATGTTTTTTACAAAGCAAAATTTTTAATTATTTATTAATATTTTTCAGGTTCTCACCTCTCGATCAGAGTGGGTGTTCACTCAGGTGCAGTAGTAGCTGGTATTGTTGGTTTAAAAATGCCTCGGTACTGCCTTTTCGGAGATTCTGTTAATACAGCATCTCGCATGGAGTCTACCTCTGAAGCTATGAGGATCCACATATCACAGACAACTAGGGAACTCCTGTCTCCTTCATACATGGTTATGGAGAGAGGAGAAATACAAGTTAAAGGCAAAGGTAATATATAAATATACTACATATTTATCTTGTAAAATAATACGTAAGATAGGTAGAATATGTAGAACTTACCTATTAGGTACGTTCTTGGTAGGTACTACTTAGAAGTAATTTTTAATTACTTGATCATACTGGTATTTATGATAAAACTATGTCAAATATGAACAATATTTTGCTTATATTTTGAAATCATTGTTGAATCTAGAGTTGTAATGTACCGGAGCACTTCACGTCACATTGTTATATCATAATATTATTTCAACTTTGGAATTTTCTTTGCAGGTATAGTCAATTAACAATTAAGCAACAATTTATTGTTACATTATTACTTAAATAACATAAATATATATAAATATACATATAACATATTGTTTCAGGTTCAATGAAAACTTATTGGCTTGAGGGCCGAGAATCCAGACCCGCGTTAAGCAAGGTCATATCCCCACAACTGCCACCCGGCACTGAACTCGAATGGGAACGAGCAGCCGACATTAGAGATAGCATCGCTGAATATTCTGCCCAACAATTAAATAATAAAGAAAATTACCAACACTTACCTAATTCTATAAATTCTGGACCTAATTCTCTAGTTAATAGTTCTGGAAATTTAATGGCTGTACAGCAAACGACATCAGTAGTAAAAAGTCAAATTAGGTCTACTACTCCAGCCCCAGTAGTGATGTCACCAGTAGAAGAAAGACGGATGTATTCCCCTGTCACTTTCCAAGATGTAGCTAGGCGGAGTATAGCAAATTCACCTAATAGGTCAGATAAAGATAAAGGTACGTACCTATAATAATCATAATGAATATTTTGCACCAAATCGAATCTGAAACCCACGGGTAATTAGTATTTAATTTGTAAGATGACGGTATCCACCTATTCTTTCATTTTACGACGTGAGAATACATCGGCATGGAACCCTAAAAATCTCATTAAGAGGAACTAAGAAAATAAATCCAAAGAACATGAGTAAATAAAAACCCTTAATCAATTTGTCTCAATAATTACTAAAGTATTTAATCGAATGATTAAATTGCTAAGTACTCATAGTAGGTAACTTATATTTTTAGAACTCTTAATGTCAAAAAACAAAACACAAATCTATGCTGTTAGCTAAAAACATCTACTACAATCGGAACACTGCATGCTCTAATGCCATTTTTTTTTATTACAAAAGTTTTTAATTGTTAGCAAACTCATTACGCGCCAAACCGATTTTTTTTTATATTTATTAATACATACTTTCGTTTTCATTCGATATCAATAAAACCTAATTTAAATAATTTATCTGGATTTAGATCTGTAAGGACACAAAAGCAGATTTTTAATTCGACTGCAAGTATTTTGTACTTTTTTACCAATAATGAACCAATTTTGAAATTTTTTTTCTAATCGATAATACTCTTCCCGCGATAAAGTCTATGGAACAAAATTATCTGTACTAAAAAAATAAACAACAAGCACCCAAATGAACACAACTTTTGGTATCGATTCAATCACGGTGATGATACAATCTATATTTTCAGATACAAGATCAAATTCAACAGCATGTGCTGCTGCTTGGACGGACGTAGATAGCGATCCACCTAAACCTATCGGCAGTTACAACTCCTCATTTTGGTAATAATTTATTTCAGTAATTTCTATAGTATTAAGAACTGCAACTGTAGGTACTTTTAACTCATATCTGACTAATTAATGATGTTATTATAATCATTGTGCATGTATTTACTCACAAACATAGTTCGTGTACTTGTTGTCTACTACAGTAATCTATTTTTTTTTAAATAACTGATGCTTTTATTACGTAAGTTTTATGTGAGTGACACGTTTCATAGTATATTTGTAAATCTTAAGTTACAGTTCACCATCCCCTTGCAGAGTTGAGACCACTCCTGTTTTTAAAGAACGGGAGCAAGAGACCTGCACAGAAAATGTGGTAAGTCACAATATTTGATTTAGGTGTTATTTTGCGAAAACCATCTCACTAGCTTCTAAATTAATATTAATTTGTTTAATTTCACTGTAGTTAATGTGGATTAAACTACAAATTTTTGATGGACCAGCCACCATTAATAATCTGTAAAGTCTCTATACAATGCGCTATTAGTGACTAATCTTCCATTAATATATACTACTTATATGGACTGATATTGGAAAGAAGACTTTAGGGACATTTTTATTTTTGTTATATGTCAATACTTACCTTGATTCATTTTAAAGGTCTGTTTTACCATTTAAACTGAATGTTTTTCTCAAGATAATATAATTCGGAAAATTTTAAATAATTTTGAGCGTAAATCGGCATGTCCAACTATTATTATAGAAGACTTAACATTTTTTGTCCTTTTTTAATAAATATTTTATTGGGAAAAATAATCAGTTATACTGGTAAAAGCAAGTTCGTATTTTATTCACTACTGAGTATGACTGCCAAGTAAATTTTCTTTAATTTTATTCAGAAAAAATAAAATTTATTTGCGGGTATTTAATACTAATAATTGCGGGTATTTATATTTAGATTTTAATCTAAGCCCATATAGGTATGTGTATAACATGTTGCTAATTATTTTTTCTATCTTATAGTGTACACATATGTTGACGCCCCCGGCGGACTCTTGTTCCACGCTGCGGCCTGATACCGGCTCTTCAATGTCACCCAGCCAATGTAGAGAAGAAATCGGTGAGAGATTTTAATAACTTCACTCGACTATTGAGTCGCCAGCACTATCGGTATACGTTAGCGGAGCATCAGTGAATGATGATAGATGAGGATGAAAGCAGTTAGCCCATCGTGATGATTCATCAGAAATTTTCAATGAGAACCGCGTGAAGGTCGATTTGATAGGGTATATTGCTAGCAATGAGGTTATTAGACACCATTATTAATAATCCATTAAACATGTTTGTAATAATAATAATAATATTGTAATTATTTATATCGGCTGAAATAATTACGGTGTACTGTATGTTATGAATATGTTTTAAAATACTGTATAATACTTTAAAACTTATTTCCTTATTTTGATGATTTTTTCACAAGATTCATATTTCAATACTTTATTATAACTAGGTAAAAAAAACAAGAAAATAACGCACATTGAAGGTATATTGTTTACAGAAACTGACACAGAATATCAAGACGCTCACGCAGAAATAAGCCAAGGTGTTCACATCTGCACCATATCAGAATCTATCGCCGAACCGAATCACTCGAAACCAGGCAAAGTGAGCAGATTCAAAGCTAAAATAGCTCCGGGTCATTTAAAAGGTTGTTCTCACAAACCATCGAAGGATTCAATTAAAGAGAAAACTCAATCATTACAAAGTAACGTTCAGCCCCACGGGCATCATCACTCGAAAAATGTTAACCACCATCAGTGTTGCGGTGCCTTTGGCAATCCCCATGTTAGACATAAATCTAATAATTCTAGTTGTCGTCTTATTTAAGAGACTTATATTTGGGATCCATAATTATAATTATATTTTCTTTCATTTTATACATTTGGAAGTTAACAATAAAAAATATAGTATGGGAAGACGTATAGACATAATAAAGGTGTATATAGATACATATTAAATGTCGCGCTATAACAAACCAATTATATCGTGGACACAATTGACGACCTCTTCAAAAATTCTCACACAAAAATACGTACATAATGAAAATAATCGTATAATGAGCGTACAAAATTTCTAATTTCTTACATTAATGGGCAATCAATTTACAAAAATTACGATGCAAATAATCGCAAGATTAAATTAACGATTAGTTCAATCGTAAATTCAGTCTGTTATAAATTATTTCAATGTATTATTTAGAAAATAACAATTATTTAAAAATTTATTTAATTGTAATCGTCAAAATAAAGAAGTGTTTAAATTATATTTGAATTTTAAAAATATAATCGTGAAATTGGGATTGGGAAAATAAAAACAAAAATGTGGGAATTGTAAATTACAATATTAGAGCTTTCGTGCAATACTAAGATATCATGAAACCAGGAATGATGCCGAATATACTAATCTATCATCTACATGTTCTTTCTAAAAAAAATTCAGTGTAGTCACCATGTGTACATATTTTCTATATAAAATAATATTTAATAATATATAATTATGGGTCTTTTAATATGAATGTCAGTATTGTTAAAACAACGTGTTACTTATAAGTGTTAGCCTATGTGGTCTCAAATATTATGATTTACTAAATAATATCATTTTAAAATTTTCTTCTATGGGATCACTAAACATATGTTCTCTAGTCTAAGTAAATATCGGTGTTAATTTTAATTTACCGCATAATTTTTATAATCCTTAAATGAGTCTATTCGTATAAAAATAATAAGGATAACATAAAAGGATGCTGTATGTATGTATTATTATGCGATACACTAAAATTAACACCATAGTTCAGATATTGTATAGTCACTATTTACGAGTAGTTATCTAGAAGATGTTAGGTACATTTTTATTGAGATTATTTTATTTTTTTAAGTATTATTACAGATCTCAGTATATGCATCCCAAAGATTAATTATCAATAAATATTCAACAATCATATTATGAGCTTTACACAACGACAATAGAAATAAATTGTAATAAAATAGTTATATCTTTAATAACACTGTCAAACAGTGATTTTATATGGAATTGTAAAAATAGAGGAATGTTCTTAAATTATTATTTGATAGATTGTTTTCTATTTAACAGAGCAAATGCGATATTTTTATTATATTTTTACATAATTGTTACTCAATAACTGATTTATATGTAAGTAGATATCTAGATACATTTAGATAATACTTTTCCTAATATATAAAATAAGTGTTAATCACATTACATCAACACCAGCTTTACTTAGTACTTAATGAAAATTTTATTCACAGTTACGTAAGTTTTAAAGTAACTCTTTGGAATTAGAAATAAAGTGGTAATTACAACTTTTTATACTTTTAACGTAAAAGTAGGTTTTATTTGTTAAATATTTTTTAACTTTGTGTAATGCAGACTTTTTCATTACATTTATAGAAAGAAACATACAAATTATTTACAACTATAGATAGAGGATATTAAAAAAAACATACATATTCCTTTGAACATTAATCCCATATTCAAACTTATAATATAATTTTTACAAATATACAGAACCAGTATGTTACGATTACATCGGACTTAACGAGGCATACGTAGTTTAACGATTCTTCTGTGCTCTTTCAAACCTAAGCAAAGTTTCTCCAGCAAAAGCTTCGCAAAACTTTACGTTCTTCTGTGACAGTTCTAATGATTTTTAGAAAGTGTCGAAATCGTGAGATAACAACATAAGCGTGATCTCAACCGTCTGTTCGACCCTATCCTCTTTCACTCAAGAGGTCATCACCCTTGAAAACATGCGCAAACTTACCGCACTACCTTTCTCCTGAGCAGGCTTATTACTGTCAAACAAAATTTAATATCAAAGAGATACCATTATTAATTCACAATCATACATCTCTTTATAACAATAGTATATTTTAGTTTCCAATAAAAAAAAACACATTCAGGTACATTCATTATTATTTTATTAAAAGTAAATATTTATAAATAAATATTATATTTACATATTTCTACCAAAATTTCTATATAAAGGGCCCTTTACTATTTGTACTACTGTGTAAATTGTATTAACAAGACTACAAAAATCTGACAATAAATCAATACTTTTGTTATTTTTTCTATATTTTTATAACACATGGAAAGACAAACTGGCGATCGAACGATCGACTTGATGAAAATTGGTAAAATATGCAACACATTACATAACAGCGACGTTATAAATTCACCAGAAACCTACTTGTTTTCTGATAATAATTTATTATTCAAATTGAAAAACATAATAATGTAGCGACAACGATTACATCACTTTATACATCGTAACTAATGAATACGATAATCTTCCACGGACGCAATGGCCGGTCTAACTTGGTTGCACACATTGCTATCCGGAACATACCTTTCCTGATTCCACATATTCATATTTCCTGAAACGAATGTTTGTCGATCACGTTTTTGTACCAAAAACTTCCTCATTCAATTTTATTTTTGACAGTAATTATAAATATCCAGAGATATTTTATTCCGAAGCATACATACATGCACATACAATACAATTTTTATTCATATTAAAGAGATCTACGATCCCATATGTATTCGTACGATCAACATTAAATTATTAAGTACTTACTCAACGAACGTTAAAATAAAAAAAAATGTACTCACACAAAAATGTAAAATTTTTTTTTAATATTTTCTAAAGTTGTTAGTTAGTTGTTGTTGGGCCTTCTTGTTAAGAATAGCATATTTGTTCTTTTTCTTTTTGCTCTGTCCTTACACATTAATTGTTTCACATCACATAAAAACAATTTTTACATAATAATTGTAGCACAAATATTATTACCATTGGATATAATTGGTAATATCACCTCTTTTCAAATCATAAAATGTATAACAGAAGAGTACGAATAATTTGTCTTTTAATTATTTGTTGGTAATAATAGCTAAAAATAAATTATCATAAACTATGTTTAAGTGTTGGGAGTCAATTATTCTATACCTACTTGTATCTAGTCATTTTGAGATTAAATGTTATATATTACATAAATCTTATTTTTGTTAATTCGACTGTTGTAAATAGTCGTTTCATTCATTCTTGAACTTAGGCGTATTTGCGGGAGAGGGGTTCAGGTGAACAGAGCCCATCCCAGAACTGTTTAATGCCCACCTCAAGATGCGAGCGGATCTTTCAGCTCTTTCTTCAAGGGCAAAGATATGTCTAGGAGATACATAAAGCCATATTTAGACCAAGCCCCCCCCCCCCTCTGAAAAGTACTCCTAACGTGCTAATGTTTTGGAAAAATATATTATGTGCACAGACAGTATTCCAAGCGTTCGAATATGTACATTTAGTCATTAGGAATCTAAATAAGCATCTCAATCGATTTGTGCAATAATATGTAAATTTCTGATAGCACTCTGTCTGCTACTAATCTTTATGTTTCTAATAGTTCTGTAATAAAATTATACTGAAGATAATGGATTTATTTTTCTTAATACCAAACAAATTGTGATGGAGAATGTGTGGTCGTAATACTGATAAACGTTCGCTAGTCATACATATTTAATTTTTTTTTTTTGTTTTTTTTAATTATATTTACACTTATTAGCCTTTTAATTCATATTAGAACTAAATAGATATGTATGTATGTATAATTTTTCTTCAATTATAGTACGTAATGCTTCGTTAGCTCGAGCCTTGTATACTTATTTTATTGCCAAAGTTGTGAATCTCACTTTTGTGGAAATAAAAAGTACATGAAATATAAACTGTTTTATTGTCCTGCGTATTATTACAAATATCAGTTATACCTAATCGAACCCACTTTCCTATATTCCCTATGGTAATACATAAATAGAAAACCTAATACGTTTTCTATTAAACAAACTATTTAAGAAAACAAAACCCATTATTTATAATTGCATTCAATTACAGTAAATAAATAGACAATGCGTTTATTTAAAATAGTTTAATATTCAAACAACTTTACAATAGCAGTCTATATAATATAATAACAAAAAAATTAAAAACTTAAGACTTTACAACCGAGAGCTCCTCTAATTATCCTAAACCATAATCCAAATTATTCAAAACTCAATTCTGTACCCTTCAAATGTTGTTCCGCCCACTCGTCGAATCTTCGAGACAAATCATCCGACATATAGTTTTTCCAATCACCAATCTCCCCTTTCCTAATGAATCTCAATTCCGTCTGTTCCAAATAACTTTTTCCCAAAGGATTTCTCCAAAATAGCTTCCAAATTAACAGCCCTGTTTCTCTTCATATTTTGAAATGAAAGATGGTCACACAATTTCTCTACTTCGTCGTCAGACATAGTTTTACCGAGAAATTTCGCCGTCTTCCTAATTACAGATGGCAAGTCCCGTTTCATTTCTTCAAACCTGATGAACAGCAAGTTCGGATCGTGGCGTCTGTTCCAGAAACCTAGAATCGAAAAAACAATAATTTATCGGAAACAATTTCGAATTGAAAGTTAGACATAAAAAGTTAAACATAAAATTATGAATATCTTAAATAGATATACAAATTAAAAAACAATATTTTTTATGCAACTTAGAATGGCATTTATTATAAATAATTTAGAAAAGACGTTACGTTAATGGGCCGTCTTTAAAAAATATATTAATTCTTTCTATAGCCAAATTGAGAATCGCATTAAAAATTCTGTATAAGCAAATCTTTTTATTTATTTGTAACACTTTATTATACAGTAATGTCTTCAATTACAGAGTTCTTAAAAAAAAATTGCAAAAATGGTGAATTTATCTCATCAAAAAGATCAACTTTTGAATGATAAAAATTGTAAATTGGTGGAGACAAAAAAATAATAGCCAATTAAAAATTGCACGAACACACTATTGATACTAGACAACATAACACATTTAAAAGGCTCTGACCATGTATAATCTGTCTCATTTTATTACTGTAATACGAGATGACGATAATATGAGCATATCATCGTAAGTCTACTTACCAAGAATATGATTCCAAACAGGGCCGAAAGGAGCGCGGTTTCGCATGAACAGATCGCAGAATTCCTCAAATGTACCCTTCAATCCATGCACTAGAGTACAATAGTGGTAGTACGATACCACCATATCCTTAGGGTTGCGGGATGTGTAGATTATCTGTTATTGATAAGTAAACATCGTTATTTATAACCTTTAGGATTAAAAAAAATGTAAAATACAGTCTATTTGTGTACTAAATTTTATTCAAATCGGCCTAGTTGTTTATGCATAATTGTGTAACAAACATCCAAACATCTTTATAAACTTTCACATTTATAGTTAGTTATTTATGCGGGTTAATTTATTCAAAATCTTATTTACTCAATACATAATTAATTATATAAAATATTATAGTGGAAAACTACTCTTATTGCCATAAAATATTCCATAATGGATTTTTATAAAAAATTAATTGTACTTCCTCTTTACTGACAGAAGGAAGACGACATCTATTACCTACTCGTATAAAAAATTGATATTTCGTTAACACTGCTATATTTATTGTGTTTTTCCATGGGTAACATAGGTATAGGTATCTATGGTCCCATTTTTCTCTTATTCCTTAATTATTTTGAGAGTTTTCGTTAGTAAATATTAAAAATTAGAATCATTATATATTTTCTTAAATGGCTATAACTATATGCAGACAACTATATATAAAGCTAAACAATTAAGCATCCATCTAACAAGAAATGACTAAAAACATATCGTCGTCCTAAGACGTTTCACACAAATTTAAGAACAGTTAAGTATTGATTTAAAAACAATTGAAAATATACATAGGTTTTAAAAATAAGTTTTACGTAAAACATAATTAGGAAAGCTATAAAGTTACAATAATACAAGAGATTCACAGTGTAATCTATACAACCCACTTAGCCAACATCACAGAGTAGTAGTACCGATGATAATAGGTTAATATCTGTAACTCTTAACAGAGACTTGTCCTAGCAGTGAAATGTTTATGGGCTATTATGAACAAATAAAAATCCAGAACACACCTTAGGCTTCGCTGAACCATCTTCTTTTTGTATGTCAACCGGTAGCAAATCCCAGGGCAAGTGACTGCGTATATAACGAGGATGTGGCAACCGATACTTCACCAAGTCAACAGATGTTCCTTTTACAGATTCATCATGCCATTCTGCGTGTCCGTCCACCATTATACATGACAACTCTACCAAAGGGCATCGAATCTGAAATGACCGAAAAGTAATTTAATATTTTATAAAAAAGCGACCTCGACTTTGGTAAAATTAATAAGATGAAAGTAAACCGAAAGTAAAAAGAAAAAAAAAGAAATATTAAAATTGATCGACAACTGGAGCGAAGATATCATGCAATAACATAAAAAGAAGTACAGTCGATAAGAACCTGCTCATTAATTTAGTCAACTGCAAAGGTTGTTTTCTTTTCTTTGTTATTTCGGTAGTAAATATATTTACTTGTATATATTTCATTCATACACATAATTTATTGTGTGCTCTCAATATTTAAAATAAAAATTGACTATAAGAGATGAATAAATAAATATAAAAGATAAGAAAGTCAAATTCGAGAACAACAATGCTTACAACAGTTTTAACAGTTGCTTTAAAAACTCTATAATATAGTAGCCCTCCTATTATCTTTTTTCTCTTTAGTAACAGCGTTGAAATATATTCATATTAAGTATATTCTTAACAATAGATCTTTTTTATCTAGAAAAAAAGAATGCCCGAACGGCAAAAATAAAAACCGACAAAATTAGTGGCGGCTGACTGTTAAATAGGGCGGCAAACATTATTTTTGCCTGAAGCGGCTAAATTACTGGATCGTGCACTGTTTATTTGTTTGTATTTGTTGTTATATCGAGAACGGCCTCTTTTTGAGGTCGACAAAAAACACTTAACGAGTTACAAACACAATATCGGTTACAACTGAAGCCGAGTAATGTAATTACCTAGCACAGTGGTGCATAAGTCACGCTATATTCCTTGCATAATCATCAACAGCTTGCATAATGGCATTTCGAATTTCACGGATGCACACATAAAACTAAACATCCAGGAAATCTCATTACATAATCTATGATATTAATATTGTTTCTACGACATTTTCCCTAGTTTATAAGAATTTCCAATTAAAAGTTATGATATTATATAATAAAAAAACTGCTTCTACACTTAGATACCTAATTGGTTTCTTAATGCTCCGTATGACTATTGTTCAACTTTATAAAAAAAATAATTATACTATTCTTGTATGTATTCAAATTTAAACTGGATGTTATATGCGAAATGGCTTAACATAACATTATTTATTTGAAAATATTTTTAATGCTAAACCTGCATTTGAGAATCAAAAATAATTTATACGTTGAAAAAATACCTTCCGTAAGTTGCTGAGTGTATTCTCAGTTACACCAATTAAGAACAAACTCAACTCAGATAACAGAAATGTGATCGGATCTTCGGAAGTTTCGCTCTCAATTTATGATATATTATCAAAATAATTTTTAACTTTTAACTTTCATTTTTTATATATAAATAGGTAAAAAAATAAATTTTCAAATTCAACTACTACGGAATGGTTTCATATTTTTATATGTGTTTCACTAATCACATTTTGAATCTAACAGTCCCAAAGATCACCTAGAGTCTCTCAGATTAGTTAGATAAGTACGATATCGGTTTTTCTTCCATTATAGGAGGCTAAGTTTGTGACACAAACTTTCGGTGTTGACCGGGATCAAAATTGCCATTTTCTTATAATACCCACCAAACTAGGTCACGATCTTACTTAAATAAAAACCTAAAGAAATACAGACACTTAATATAATCCTAAACGCCTAAGTGTAATATTAATATAACATCTACATATTATTAGATGTTAATGATAGTTTACATCACAAGTAACAGCTGGGCCAAACATTAGTTAAAATATAATGAATTGCACAACACCTAATACAGGTTTTTTTTTATTATGCCGGAAATAACGAACAAGCGGGCCAATGAATAGCCTCCTAATGGAAAGTAAGTTCTGTCCATAAATAAATGAACACCTGATGTCGAACAGGCAACGGACGATGCTAATGTTGAGGGATTTTTACTAATGTTGTACAACATGTTACAGCCGCGTAAACCAGAAACGCGTGGTTTCTTGTGTTTCGGCCGGAAAAATACAGTTTACGCAATCTCTGATATAAGAGACACCTTACACCTTAGTCCACAGAAATAGCAACAAAAAAGGTGTTACTAATTAAAAAAAAAACAGATGTACAGTAAAACAATTGCATTTAAATGAGTATAAGTACTAAAGATAAAGATTGGAAAAATGAACAAGTTTCCTAATACAAAATCAAGTCTACTGTAATTGCCAGTATTATAGTCTAACAACAGAGGATGCCATGATTATTATAGTCTATTGTATCATGCCCATGGTTCTTAAAGGAGTCTTAGAGTTTGGAGTTTTCTAATACTTCTTGATTTAATCTACTTTCTGGACTGGCGGTAAAATTGACACAATTACAAAAATCTTAATTATCTATGCTTACCTAATAAGAGCCCAGGAATTATTCATATTTAAAAAAGTAAATAAATGAAATAGACTCTTACTTGTTGCAATGACTTGGCTCCTTCGTAGTCGAGATCATGACCAATGAGCCATACCATTTCTTGCGCCCATGTAGAACCTAGATAAACAGAAACCTTCATGAAAATATTTGTATATTTATACGTATACATATATCGATATTTAGATAATCTAAATACGTATATTTTTTTCAAACATTTATATATTATAATAAACCTAAAAAAATGTTGTGCTGATTATAATACATATCGACGGTAAAAAGGCTAAATATATTAAACATAATTTAGTAGATACATTTTATAGAAGAGCAAAAAAAAGTCGAAACAAAACGAAAAGGCAAAACTGGTAAATTATTACCAGTTTTGCCTTTTAGTTTTGTTTTGTTACCTTTTAATATATTACAGTATTTTATGTATTTTTGAACAAAATTAGTCCGTAAAATAAAACAATAGTTTTATTTTATGATTAGCTTTTTGCATGCTACTTTATCCTTATGGATTTCAGAAATAGGAAAATCAATAAAACACTTTTTCTAAATGGCTTATCAAGATGAAACACACCAGATTTTCAGAGAGTTCAAAAACAAAACTTTAAAAAACTCATTTGATTTGGTGCAATAGTTTGTCCATGATGACGGAACAAACATACAGACTGACAAAATTTATAAAAAAATATTATTTTGGGCCCTCTATTTAAACCCCTCATATTTAAATTTTCCTTAAGTATCTTCCATCATATATTCCATATATATATCCACATATATTTCATCACCATAAGATCGAACTCGTACGAGTATATTGAATTGATAAAATGTTAAAAACAGATTTCTATTCAAATAAAAAAAAAAAGTTTACAGTTATTTTAATGTTTTTCGTAACTATTGCACCGATTATGATGAAAATTTGGGGGTAAAATTAAAGCTATAGATGAATAAAAGCCATAGATTTCTAAAAAGCTGAAATTCTTAATTTGTATATTTTTATATATTAAGCGATATATTTCTTAGTAATAAATAGGAATTATCTATTTTTTTCTTTAACTGTATGACGATTAAAGTTAATGTTTTTCCAAACAAATTCTTAAATTATTAAAATTAACAACCTCTTGTTTTAATAAAGACACAATTACTTATTATTTACCGATCTCAGTTAATAACCGTTGATAAATTATTTTTTTCGATAACAGTTACAACACTGCTGGCCATATCAGAAACACGCCATAAACATTGCGTTATGAAACCGAAATAATTTACCGGAGAAAGTGATTTCTTCTTTTTTTTATTTATTATTTTGTTTGCAATTCGATCAGTATGCTGATAAATATTGAGGGATGACAGATGAGAATGAAATCACGTTACTTTATCCAACTTGATAAATTAACCACGATAGTTTTCAGGGAGAACCATGTAAAAATACCGTAATTCCCGTTACAAACAGTCCTCTCAATCAAGTCACCTGATCCTCAGCATGCCCAGATTTCACCAAGAATATTTGAATCCGGCATAGGTAACAGTAGGAAGTTTTTTGCTTCTAATTAAAAAGGGATAAATAAATTTCGTTCATTAATGTCAAAGGTACTGTATTCGAAGATATATTTAAAAAAATATACAGTGAAATTTTTAACTTCCTCGTTTTGAATTCAGCTAAAAATTATTAAGCGTATTTCACTTTTTCTGTTAAGAAAAATAATATTATTAATCAATAATAATATTGATATTGATTATATTCAATTTACAAACTTTTAGTATAATTAATTATGAATTAACATACATCAACATCAAAATCAATTTACAGTGTACTAACTTCAATTTTGAGTCCGTTAAAAAATTTCTTAGCTCCTATTCGTTACACACATACAGATTAAAAAAGAAAAGGAGTACCAATATCGCTGAAATTCGACAATTATTAAGTAAAATAATATCACTTACCAGTCCTTGGATATGAGCACATCCATACGTCCTCCTGTAGCACCTCCATGTCTAAAATATCTTGGCCTATTGTCATGTAGTCTGCTGGTAATATCACTCTCCCGGGATTAATCTCCACCATGCAATCCTTTTTCTCAAACATCCTATCTAGTAATTCACCCGTCTCATCGTCCAGTTTCGAAAAAGTCAACTTTGGTTTGGTTCTCATTTTTTTTTAATATTTTTTTGTTTTCTTTAAAACCAATTCACATTTACTTTTTGTAGCAAAGAATAAACGTCCAATGCCAACGTCGATAGGAAGTGCTATGATCGCATGCTGTACGCTATGCTCGGTATATTTTCCTCGGCACTCTCACTGCACTTTCATTCGGACCAGAGTTCGCGCGGTTTCGTATACGATATAACAGTTATGCAACTATTAGGAAGTTCGAATATTACTATGATTATCAGTCAGTTATTTTTATAAACATCGACAGGTTAACACAGATTATGGCGTTTAGATCTACATACATACGTATAAGAGAAACTTTCTGACTAACTAATCGGCCGAAATTGCCGAATTTAGGGACATAAAATATTGCAAATGAATTACTAATCTATTGGAATTAAATACAAATAAAGAATTTTAGATTTCTCGTTATACAATATTAATGACATCTAAAATATCTCTACTACGAGAACTCTGATTTGCACCCCCAAGAAACATTGTTTTTTTTTTTAATGGAACGGTAACCCCGCCTGCGCTAACGATTTAAGCTGGCAGGACACCAGTGAGGGATGATATGTGAGAATGAAAAAAGCAGGTCAGTTAGCCCATCGTGATGAATAGACTTGGAATTCAGCACGATGATTTCAAGGGGGAGACCACGGGGAGGTCGACCTGTTAAGGTATATTGTTAGCAATGTGAGAAGTTAGTAATCCGCGTTTCTAACAATGCCTATTCGTTAAAATCATCAGCAAGAATCATGCGACTATGATTAGACTTTAATAAAGCATTTATTTTTATTGCTGTTAATTTTATTATTAATTGCTATTAGTGGAGCATTAAAAACTAATAAAGCTTATTTCTTTATTATTAACCACAATGCATACACAGATGTTTTGCAAAAGTAGATTTTTTTATACCACAAAGATAACAAACAAGCATACAGTCTATCTGATGATAAACGTTCATTGTAGCTTATAAAGGCCTGCAACATCAGGGATGTCACGTGAGCTGAACACTACCGACCCTGAAGGAACCTTAACACGCCCTTTTTGTAAAATTTTATACTGTAGCCTTTCATTACACTGTGTTTATTAACCAACGTTAAAAAAGGAGAAAGGTCTCAATTCAGTTGTATTTTATGTCAGTTACCTCATAACTATCAGTTATATATCAATTTAGAAAATTTTAAAAGATATAGTTTCAAATTAGTGTCATAAAAATTTTATCAAAATCGGTTCAATAGTTTAGTTACTAAATCAAAATAAATGGTTTTGCCACAATTGAAGCCAGTTTTTTTTTTTCGTGGAACACAATCTTAAAATATTTATGTGAATTATAATATCAATAAGGTTTTAACCTTAATCAGGTATAGTACGATTTATTGACCACCTAGGTAATTGGAGTTTTAAAGTGATCTTTGTCTTTTTTTTTTTTAATTCATAAAATTTATTTGATTACCAATATTTGTATGAAGCTAAACATTTTTTACTAAACAATTCATTTTGGGAAAAATCATTATTCCAAGAATGTGGTCATTATATGCCCTATACTCGTCTGACGGGAAATAAAATGAAATAATAATGTATTGACACCAATCGCCTCAGTCGCATAGGTATTACATGTTAGCTATTTCTGTAATGTAACTACATAAAACTACATAATTTAAATATCCCTGTTATGAATTAATAGGGGAATACGTTAACATCGATATCATGCCTCATTTGTAATTTTTTTTTTATTTATTTAATTTTTATAGCCAATAACCCAGAATTAGCTTTATAAAATAGTTTCCAAACTAAACTTTATTTTTATGACGGTAGGTATGAAAATTATGGTTTGAAGTCAAGATCCTCATGACTGCAGCAAATATAATCACATATATATTTAACTCTTTATTGATATATATTGACTTATGAGCTTTATTCACTTAATGCATCTCTTGTCTTCATCCTGTTCCTCATGCGATCCCAACCACTCCACTTCATCTAAAATTACCTATCCAAATGAAGACTTATTACATGTAAGGATACATACAAATCTATAATATTAAGGAATAAAGTTTTTATTTTAATTATTTGTAAAAATGCGCTTTTGCTATTTAATCATTCCCGCCAGAAAATGACATTTTTCTGACAAACGTCAAAACATCTGAAACGTCAGTTATCAAAACGGTCAAAAAATAATTGTAAAAAAATTTGTAAACAAAACATTGATTTGTATTTTATATACTCTCTATTCGGTGATTTTGTAATCGTAAAAAAAAAAAACAAAATTGATAAATTAAACATGTCCAAGGTAACAAACGTAAACTCTAGTTTAGCTTACGAGATACTGTTGTATTTGAATAGCTTTTATTTAGGCATGTTCTTTGTGTGCGAAGTGGCTATGGGCATCTTGAAAGCTATTAATGTATCTTATCCAGAAAACGTCTTACTGACCGAAGCTGGTATATTTTGTGCCCTGTGTCTTGTCGAAGTTATCCGTATTTTTCTTGGCCGAAGGGGAAACTTGGCTAGTAAAAGTAAGTAGCGCTGTAAATATGTTTTACTGTCTTTAACACATCTCAAACTATTTTGATAGTGTCATAAAATAATACAGTAAAGTCCCGTTTATCAAATAGCATTTATCCGAAATTTGCTTTATCCGAGCAAATTTTTCCGAATTATTTTCATATACTTCTTCATATATGTACTCTATCAATCACTAAATTATACTGCTCAAGAGTAGGTAATGTAATGGACTGATGAATGGATGAAATAGGACTCTATTTTCCGCGCTTAGCCTCTCATTTGGGCCGTTGTGCATATGATCAAGAGTAGGTAATAAAATTAAAACTTATTTTGCCCCCACTGCTAAATAAAGTGATTTTTTTCTGTAAGAATGCAAAATAAACTAGCTTTGTTATTCAACATTTAAAAACTTTGGATTTTCAATCATACTTTGGCATCTTTTCAACACATCAACATGAATTTTTCAGCCAAAAACATGTTGGTTTATTCATAACCATATTAATAGCATTCTATGTATGCTCATTATACATATTTCTCAGTATTTATGCATTTTCGGGTTTTCAGAGGACTTCAGTTTTTCAAAATTTTCATTATCTGAACCAACTATTGTCCCAATCATTTTAGATAAATGAAACTTCACTGTAAAGTGGTACATGGATAGGTTAACATATAGGATACTTTATATACTGATTCACATGTGTGAAGCCACAGTATACAGTTAGTATTATAAATGTGAAGGTGAGTTTTTTTATCTCCAGGATAACAGCTTAACCAATACTTATGAAATTTATACCAAATTACCACAGGAACTATTTGGGATGAAAAAAGAGACCTATAGGCCACTTTTTGTCCCAGTCAATTTTAATGGAATCTATATAATATTGCCATGATCAAGAGGCAACTGTTATCAATTTTTTTTTAATTAAAATAAATCTTTTTTCAGAAATTCCTGTTTTCTTCTCAGTTATATTAACTGTGCCATCTGCTATCGGTGTCTGCTACTTCCTCATATACCAAACCTACATCCTGCGACTGGAATACATATGGTGTGCAGTAATGCTTATGTTCCATGCATTAGAACTTGCTTTTGCCATCCTGTTCATCTTTACAGTGTGTAAAAATCAGCAATATGAATAGAATAAGTGTAAAAGTACCTCACTGCCAAGGAGATACTGAATGCCAAATATATGGACTGAATAATACATTCCAATTTTAAAAATAAGTAATCTTTTACTTGTTCTATATTAAAATATGTATCTAACATTTGCCAGTATTATGCTCTTTTATAGATATTAAAAACAATATACCTAACTTAAGAATAGTATGGTAAGTTTTTAGAATAGGAATAATCTACTTTTGTTCTCTCAACTAGTTATTTTGAAGGCAACAAAGTTAATTCAACACATAACTGTACATGAAAATGAAGATTTAATAGGCAAACAAAAATGTAAACAAATTCTAATATTTAGTACACTTGTACTCTTCCAATAATCGTTTTAATACCTGACTTTAACATGCTTGCTGCTATCTGAATCTTTACTACATTTTATGAATTATAACTAGACAGAACACATTTTTATATTATTAATGTAATACAGCTAGTCAATCTTGTATATAACATAATGAAACATTTAGTCAACCTAAAAATAACGATTGTATATAAGAATATTACAAATAAAAGTTAATATACTGTATATATTTTTTAATTTACTTATCTATATCTAAACTAGAACAACACAATTATAATTATTCAGCAATTGGGGGTGTTATATGATCAGGAATTTTCTGACATTCAATTTTAGTAACTTTTAAAGCACAACCTTCTGGTAAATTCCTCTGAATATATTCCAAATATGTATCACATGTGGATCCAGTAAGACGCTGCAGGTGTATGAATCTGAAATATGTTCTGATTTCATACTGGACTTTATGTTTTTTATAAATGTGAACACATCTTAAAAGAGTATGTCTCTCCTTCTCTGCTTTTCTTAACGCCCAACTGAAAAATAAGTGTACATAAATAATAGCAACAGATATGGCACAAACAAACATAATAATTCTTTATTCTTGTATTTCTTGTTTTAAAAGGTCCACAGCACACCTGAAATGTATTTGATGTTGTGGGTGATCATTGGCAGCGGTAGTCACTTACCACCAGGTGAGCCGCAAGCTTGTTTGCCCCCAGTGTTATAAAAAAATAACATCCAAAAAATAAGCTAATAAAACAAAATACACATCAACATAAATAACTGTAATTGTTTAAAATCAAATAAAACAACAGATTCTCCACAAATATCGCCAAGGGAAACAATCACAAAATCTCATACCAAGTGACTGCCAGTAGGTCAATTAAACCAAATTTTTTCTGCAAATTTTGACGTATTGTTTTTTTTTTCTGTAATGTATTATAAATAAGACATTGTGATGTTATGACTATATTAATGGAATTTTACTAGAATTTATGTTAAAAGTAGATATGCACACCATTCGTGGTAAAATATGGAGGTGTAATAATCTAATAACGTACCATCTGTAATACCTATATTTAAGCAAATAAATTATTATTTTAAATTATGTGACTCAACCACAACTGTAAATATATATTAAAATAAAACTACTAACTTCTTTGTAACTTCAATGCCCAAGTGTGAAGCAGCTGCTACACAAAACCATGAATAACTAAGTAGTACAGCAGGGTCAATGCCTCTCATTTCAAGCTCCACTCTCTTATATAATTTATCCAATTCGATCGTAGAAAGTACATTATCCTGAATTTGTGATGGTACAGAAGTTACTGGTGGGGTGGACAAACACCGCAATGCAACAAAGTTTGGCGATACTGTACTTCGAATAGCAGGTGCTAATCTAAACAACCTCTGAAAAACGAAATTAGATATAAAAATATTTTGATGCTTAAGTTTATTTTAAATTACACCGAATTTTATAACCTTACCTTGGCCACATTCATAATGTAGCGGATGACGATCGAGTAATATATACACTAAACCAACCTAAAATAACAACAATAATAAATAACTTAATCGTTCAATGAGAGTAACATTTGATATATACTAATTAATGAAGATATTGCAAAACATTGGGAACATTTATAACCTATACAATTTTTTTTTTTATTTCGATCACAGAATAGAGTCACAATATTAAGCTTTAACCTACTTTTTTTAAAAAGCAATAAAAAAAACTGTAGTTTAATCAATTACTAACTAAAGCCATATGAATATCGATTTAAATTTTAAAGATTCATTCATCTCATTCGATAGACTAAACTCGATCATTACATACGCAATCATAAGTGCGTTTAAGAAAGAGCTGGACAGGTCTATTATTTAATGGGTAAAAATAAATTACAAAGTCGCCTGCGCTTATTAATATACGCTGGCAAAGCACCATTAAAAAATGTTAGGTGAGGATGAAAACAAGTTAATTAGCCCTTCGTATCGAATTATTGTTAAATAAATAAAAATAACAACGACATAGTTATTGTAGAAAGCTAGTTATATTTGAATTTTGGAGGGTTATAAGGCCGTATAACATTTTCCATACACTAGCCTGCTATGAATTAAGAAAAATAGTTACTAATGGATATATCATTAGTTGCTATTTTTTTCTTGCTTTCATCCTCTTTTTACTAATTATATTTGGATAAGAAAAAAATAGTGTGTTATTCTCAATATACTTTTGCTTACCATTAAAAAAATGTCTTAAAATTATGTTTATTGACTAGATTAAGTACTCAAGTATATGAGTATCAACCTAGTAAAAATTGGAGTACTGGAATCACATATTAGTCTACTACTACTACAAATTAACTAACATTGGGTAACGTAACTCTATAAGGTACCGATATAAACTAGAAGGACGTGTTTCCAGAGCCGTTAAAAACTTTTATAAAAAAAACTGCTAAAATCGCAGTGTTGCCAGATTTGGTGTTTTTCGTAATTTTGGGCAAATTATTTTTATTCATGTAAATATGGAGAAATTAAATTCTTGGAGAAATTTTGGTATTATTTCGGAAATTTGGGACAATGGTTTTAATATTTGTTAATTCAAAGGTTATATAATTGTAGTAAAATATATGAATGAATTTATTATACATAACACAGGATGGTATTTGAGAAGAAGAGGGTAAGATATGCTAAGGATAGAAACAGATAACTTTTTTCGTTGTTCATTTTGTAGTATATGATAAAACGCAGTGAAAACAATACAACTTTGTCATAAGATGAAGTCCTTAAAATTGTATCGATTTGGAAATATTTGACGTTTGGGTATAAATCATAATTTGCATGTGACAACCCTGTTTAATGTTTGCCGTTTGCGGTATTTTTATCGTAATTTTCCATTAATTTCTGTATATGTATTGTTAATTATTTAAAAGTGTGTTGTATTGGAATTTGTAACTTTCTATAAAGCATCATGATGGATGTGAAATCGTTTCTGCATTCTTGGACGGCTAAAAAGGGTCTCACACCGATCTTCGATGTCCGAGCTACAGGTTAGTTTTATTTTTTCCTTATTTATTTAGTAAATTACATTGATATGTTAATTAATTTTTTTGTATTTATAAAGGTTTTAATTTTATCTATTATTTATATATATGAGAACTTTGATATTAGTGTATTATAAAAGCACAAAAAATTCGACAGTTTAAACCATATTTTTATTAATCTCTTTCACTTATACGTATTTCGATAATTAAAAATAAAAACATTGTGTGTCAAGTTTACATTACGTAGGTGTTTAAAAAGTATAAATGTTGTAAATAAAAATAGAATTTTTCCAATTGTGTAGGTATACAATTTTACTTATAACCTTTATAAATATTATCACAAGGATTCTTTCATTTTCATTTCAAATTTAGGAGATGATGTGGTTTCTGTACTATGTAGTATAAAAATAAACCTTTTAAATTCAATAATATTTACCTTATCTATTAGACACAATACTATTTATTTGCAAATTGCTTCTTTGAAATTGGTTTTGACTTGTTATTACTCTGAATGCTGCTAGCAAAAGGGAACCAACAAAGTTATGTATATCAGATATACATAGAACTACTTTTGATGATTGATGTTTTTAATGATGATTAATGTTTTTAACTGAAGAGGTGCAACTGTTAACTCATTGAATCTTAAATTACATTTAAAAATTCATAAAAGGAACTGTTTGTATACATTTTTTTTTGGAGAGAATATGCATTATTTTTTCTTAAGTGTCATCTCTCAAAATTTTTTATCTGCTTTATTATAAAAGCAAGTCCTTCCAAAAAAGTTATTACCACGGAAGTGATAAAGATACTGAAAGGTTTTATAGGCATTTGGATGTTTGTTACTCAATCATGCTTAAATGGTTGAACAAATTTAAATGAAATTAGATACATGAGTAGGTTACTGTTTTAATATTATATTGTTATTACAACATTAATCAGATTAATGTTGTAATAACAATATAATATTAAAACATAGAACAATGTAATCGTGATTTAAATGAAATTAATGACAGACATGATAGTAGGAGGTGTTATACCACAGTTACACCCTAACTTAACACAGGATACTTTATATACTAATTCTTGCTGCAGTATTTAATAGTACATAATATATTTGAATGTGATTCAAATGTTTCTTTATGTGTTTGACTAGTGATCTAGTCCACCTGCGCACAGGTATAGGTTTTCAAAATTAATATATAGCTTATGTTACCTTCTGACAAGGTAGCTTACTATAGGTGAAAAAATTTTTAAAATTAGTTCAGTATTTTTTTATCTGTTACGAACAACCACTGGAATTTTTTGTTTTTATAATATTAGTATTGATAAGTATACATTTCAAACTCTGAATAATGTTGATTGGAAGGGAATACTACATAATATTAAGTCTAATTATAATATAAAGAATAAATAAATATTCAAATTTATTAAGTATAGTTTTATTTGCTAGGACCAAAACATCGGCAACGTTTCCTCTGTGAGGTGCGTGTGGAAGGTATATCCTATGTTGGAGCTGGAAACTCCATGACGAAGAAAGAAGCTCAGATGAATGCATCCAGAGATTTCATCAACTATTTGGTGAGGGCAGGACAAGTGGCCGCAGCTGATGTACCTGAGGATGTGAAGGTTAAAACTGAACCAGACAATGGTAGCCAGGAGTCACAATCTATTGCTGGACCAGGTTCAATGAATCAAAGATCAGTTTTTCAGGTAGAATTTATACTTTTTTTTTTTTACCATTGATATGATTAACTTAGTAAACACATATTCTTTATTTAAAAAAATATATAGTATGTAAAATATAAGAAAATACAAAAAAAAAACTACTAAAAATAATGCTTTGTTGTAACATTTTTGGTAGTTTATAACTTTAAATATTGTAATAAAAATAAACACGAAACAGAAGTAGAATAATGAAATAGACCACTTACATATGTCATTTAAAGATGCAACATATACCATATTTTAAGTTAATATTTTATGAACACAAGTTTAAAAACCATATCCATTTTGGTGCAGTAATATTTATGTGATGCTAGAATAAAAATATACAGACTAACAAAATAAAATAAAAAAATTGTTTTGGTAACTAAAACCTCATATATTAATTTTTCTTAAATATCTTCCATGTACAGATTGGGTAAAATTTTATTATATTAGTAAGATTAATTGAATAATTTTCCATAAAAATATCTTTTTGTTTAATATATAATAAGTCATAAATAGTGAAACACGCAAATAATTTGGTTTCCATTTTCATTATTCATTCACAATTTTTAGCAAGGAATGGGTCCAGAAAGTATGGGTCAAGCTTACCAAGCATATGGTGGTCAAAGTGAGAACTACACATACATAGATCGGCTCCAACAGCAGAAGAATGTGGAGGAGGCTGAGGATCTAGATGTCAATGCCAGTCTCCATGGAAACTGGACAATGGAAAATGCAAAGTCAAAACTGCATCAGTTTATGCAAATTAATAAAATCAATGCTGATTATATTTATAAGGCTGTAGGGCCTGACCATACACGGTTTGTGATTATTGGCTAACTTACTTTTTTTACATATAGAAAAGTGGTAAACAATTCGATTCTAAATTTGTTTGCATTAAGGTTTCCAACCTTAATTCACTTTCATGGAACATCAATTTATTATAACTCAGTTTTAAAGTTTTTTTATTGACCTTTTTAGGATAAATTAATCTGTTATAATCTATGTATATACATACACAGATTACATATACACATTCAGTTCTCTGTTATTATAGAATAACATAGGTTTTTCTTTTTTTTTTTTTTTAGAGAATCGTTAACAGCTATTTTCCTTTTTTTACTTTTGTTATTGACATATGAAAAAATTTAAATTGAATTACATAGGATCAATTTTTTTTGCTTCTAGATTTATTATTAAGGCTTATAAATTTATTCAATAGGTTGATATTTTTTATCTTTGAAAATCCTAGTTTACACATACGAGGTCTGTCCGGAAAGTTCGTATAAAAGTGTTCTGGAATGCGAGAAAGAGGAGTGGGGAGGCCAGGTAAGCGCAGGACCCCTTCCTTATGTCCCTAACAATGCTTCAGTGTTTGGTTGTCACGCCATCTGTGAAGTTAAATATATAAGAGCAGCGCGTGTATCAAGTTTCTCTCGAAACTCGGCAAGAATGGAACATGAACAGATGGGGATGATGCTGTGAAGGAACCAACCGTCCACAAGTGGCTAAAAAGATGAGAGGGCAGATTCAATATTCAAAATGACGAAAACGTGGAAAGAATTCGAACTTGTGTTAATGGGGACCGTCGTTTAACGGTCAGACAGGTGGCTGAAGAGCTTAATTTGGGCAAAACCGTGGTCCACGAAATTCTAAGAAACGAACTTCAAATGAAAAAAATTTGCGCCAAGATCGTTCCCCTCGTTTTTGAGTAAAAATTCCATTACGGTGACCGAACACCCCCTATTCGCCGGATTTGGCCCCGTGTGACTTCTTCTTGTTCCCAAAAACCAAATTGGTACTTCGGGGGCGGCATTTGGGGGATAAATGAGATAAAAAAAGTTGTTGTTTGGCACAAGTGCATTATGTCACAGGGGGAGTACTTTGAAGGGAGAAAACATTTATAATAATTGTAAAATAAAATTTTTAAAAAACTTTTATACGATGATATATAGTGATGGAACAAAGAAGCAGAAAATCAAAATGACAGCCAAAGATCACTAGATGCTTCCTCATCTGGTTACATCTATATATTGTTGTTTTGTTCTAGAAGGCAATGGGAGAATACATATAATATGATGATAATGATGCAAAGAAGAAAATAGACATATATAGCTTTATTAACTATAATATTAGCAATAGCTTGAGTCTGATGTTTAATAAAAGTAATTTTATTTTGTTATAGTTCAGGTGTAAATGAATGGTTTTTTTACCACTTATCTATAACCTAGAATTTAATTTGTAACTGACTTAATACAATAATTTAGAACCTTAATATTTTTAAATTTCGTAATGTGTATTATGTTTCTCACTTATTATTTTATTTTCATTCTTGGAGTGGATGTGACTTAAGAAATTGATATATGTTTGTTTATAATAATGTTTATTCTGTGTTTAGCTTATCCTAACATCTTATATAGTATATTCATTTGTCTTAATTTTATTATTTTGCACTTATTTCGTAAGCCACTGGTTATTCATCATTTTTGAAAAATCAATGGCTAAAAATTGTGAAAAATAGTCTGGAAGTGGGGCCAAATGGTTGGCGGCTGATTTTCACTTTCGATTTAAAGATGTTTATTTCCATGCAGTGATTTGGAAATAAAATCTTATTTTGTGAAGTTGAAGCAAATGATGCAGACCATATGCAATATTTGCTTCACAAAACATTCTCAAGATTACAGAATAAAACCCAAGACTGAAAATATTCTATACTCATAATAATGTTATGTTCTGTTTTCACTGAAAAAAAATTAAAAATAACAAATAATTTAATTTTAATTGCATGATTTTAAAATAAGTTGTTACTAATATTGTTATTATACTTATAAATTTGACATGATTTAATGTGACATATTTCTAATTCATTTTCTAAATAATTTTTCATAGAAAAGTATTTGCTAATGTAAAAGAAACGTTGAAAGGAGATCACCATTGATAGTCTTGGGTTTTATTTTGAATACAGGTGATGCTTGAGATCTTCAAGTTGTATATTTGACCACAGTTCCAGACTATTCCATGCTCACATACCTCTGTCATGTCTAAATGGTAAGTAATTCTTTAATGTTTATTTAACATTCATATTTTAATTATTTGTTTACAAACTAAATGTCATGCCATATATAAATTAATATAATTGAAGATCGTCTTTCAAGCTTCAGATGGAATTAGTTTGTTCAAAAATGACAATATAAATTAATTTTAATATGATTTGTAATCACCATTAAGGAAATCTGAAATCATTGGGAGTTAGCAATAAACAGTATATGGCATCTTCATTATAATAGAAAATTTTGACACCAGAGGATGACATCCTCACACGAGTAGTAGTATAATTGTTATTATCTCTTTTTAGGTCGTATTCTGTGTATTACTGGGGGGTTTCAGTATTATTTGTCACATGAATAAGTTTTATCTGAAGATTGAAAATTTACTGCTTTCTAACATTATAGCTAAAATTACAAAAAAAAAACAATATGTTCTCTGCCTAAAAATAAAGTAAAAGTATATATATATATACCTTGGATACTTTTTTACTTGAATATTGAATGATGCATTCATCACCGCTTTCTCTACATTTATCATGATTTGTAATGTCTTTGACTATCCCATCATGAATAACAGTCATCTTATTGATGTTTATGTTTTCAATTTTATAGGAGTTTCTGTTGCGAGATGACAATATACGTCCGTCAACTGGGAAGAAACGTGACCGGCCGCGAGACCGCATCCAACAAGCAAACGGCCAGCAAGTCTTGTGCGTTATCGCTCGTGCGTCAGTTGTATCATCTTGGTGTGATTGAGGCTTTCAGCGGCACTCTCAAGAAAGACAGGTGCGTTTTTAACTTGTTTTTAGATGTACCAATATAAGCCACAAAATGTTGAAACAATATACCATCTTTATTTGATAAATCACTACTTCAGGTTCAGTAACAGAAATTAGGTATGCCAACAAGTTGCCTTTTCATTCCATTTATCTGCTAGATGGACTGTCGCATTGTATCCAATTCACTTAATTTTGTTTGCATGAGTTCATACTTTTATTGTTTAATGAATGAATCATTATTTCATACTTGATACTACTTGTGTGCGTTTAATAAATGTAACTAATTTTTCATGTACATGGTTCATTATGTGTTTATAATATACTATTTAGCAAACACACCCTTTAACTGACTACAGGTCATAGCATAAAATCAGTGTTTTGTCTAGTAAGGACCTGTAAACTGAATTGTGACTTTCTTGTGGTTCTACAGCACATACATATCATAATGTTGTAAAAATTGTGATTTCTTTGTAAAATTTTATGTATGTGACTGGAGCTTACAAATAAACGTTTAATATTATTACCAGATTGCATTGTAAACATAAAATTGATAAAAATTTATAAAGGCTCCACATATAAAATGATTTTGTTATTTTGTTAATATATTTAGATCATCAGAAGGCATAATGAAGCCTTATCCAGTGGCAATAAGTCCTGAACTTGAAGAACAATTGGAGGAGGCATTGAAAGGTTAGTGTTTTTTTTTCCTTGTATAGTCAAGTTGACCAATTTTCGTATTTTTCTTAATAATACTTACTAATATTATAAATTTGCCATTCTAAGTTGTATAAAAAAAAATAGAGATAATACAGACAATCATATTTTGGTATGAACATTCTTATACTGTTTTTTTTTTTTAATGAATAAAGATGCAATGATGTACCCACTTATGCTAGTATATATAGCGGTTTACCAGTGCAGAAGGAAACAATTGACATGAAATCAGGTCAATTGTCCCATCTCAGCGAAGCTATGGTTTCTAATGAGGATCCCGTGTAAATAAACCAGACAAGATGTATTGGTAGCAATGTGGATTAACATCTCCATTACTCACAACTCCCAGCTGATATGTTAATAAATTCTTATTATAGAGCTCGACATTGTCCCCGTGGACGTGGAGTCCGCTCGTACTGAAGCGGTCGAAGGCGAAGAGAGCCACGGAGTAACGTTACTGCAGTTGGACCGCGTGAAGGCTATGCGCGAGGCGCGGCCAGCGCCCTCTGGTGTGGTTTCCTGGTCGCCGCCCCAGTCTAACTGGAATGCATGGACCGGGTGCAATATCGGTAAGTGATGGAAATGGAATCTAATGGCATCACAAAGTACCTTCAGTGATTTAGTAAAGTGTGTTTTAATTGAATGGTGATTAATTCATTCTTGAGTGAAATCGTCTGTTTTTTTTTTTTTTTTGTTAGATATATTGATTATCTCATAATTACATAAAATAAAACAATCTAAAACTCCGAACTATTTTTAATAGATTAAAGGCTATTAAAGAGCTTATTGGATTTCCTAATATGTAGATATATTGTACTTTGTCCATCATTGAACTTATAAATAGTCTGATATATTTATAAATTAAAAAAAAAAAAACTTCAAACTTTAAGATTAGGGAATTACATTTTATGAATGACAGTATTGTGAAATATATATTTTTATTATTTTAGATGAGGGGCCTCTTGCCACAACTAGTTTAGATGAAATCAGTTCTGATTTGGAGAAAAATCATAGAGAGAAGATTCAAAACAGTCAACTTTATCAAGTAAATATAATTCTATTTAAATAACAATTTATTCATCTACAGTTGTAACAAACTATAGGTAAATTTAAAAATCGATATTTACACCGTTTATATTTCGTTTTTAATTTACGTTAGTCGTAAATACACATTTATGTTAAAAGATAGTTGAAAAGATAACTGTTGAGTTTCTTGTAGTCTCTTCTCTTCCAACAGATAAGTAAGGCTTTGTATAGCTATCAAACTAATCTTTACATCATTTTAAATATGTTTTTTAATCTGTATTTAACAAAAAGAACTATATATATACATATATAATACCTATATTTTAATTCTTAGGAGAGTATACGCGAGCGTGAACAACTGCCTGTATACGCGATGCGATCCGAGATTATGAACGCAATCAATGACAACTCTGTTGTCATTATTAGAGGCAACACCGGCTGCGGGAAAACCACACAGGTCAGTTTTTTATTAGTGTCCAATTCAAGCCGAGAGATTGACTTGTTTATATATCTGTATAATGTATAATATATAATCAGTAATATTTATGGTAAATGATCGAGTAAATCCTTCTTTAATATTATTTATATAGAAGTTGATACCAGAGGGCGACACCCACATTCACATGTGTAGTAGTAATGTGTTTTGGTCTTGGTTACGCAGAAGTTGTTAACACAATTAGTAAAATAATAAGTATGTAATCTCCTTCCTTACTCAATTATCTTAATAATCTTTAATGACCCCTCATCGTCATCATGTCGACGTAATATATTTTGATTAATATTACATAAGGAATTTCTCGTAAAACCAAAAGCTTTTTTTTAAATTTAATGACCTTTATTATATCATGATTAGTTTTGGTTTGAAATGTTTATATATATACACACACATCTACACACGCACTCACGCACGCAGATATAATATATTACATTTTATTCTGATTTATTAACTCTTATTTTGTATTATATTGGAAATCTTTTTTTGTACATAAATTATAATTATTCATTTTCATTACTGTAATTTGTATTTTTATGGATATGGAAGACCATGATCTTTTGATACAGTCATTATGACTTTTTAGAAGTTCACAATCACGGTATTTGTATCTTACTATTTTTTTTTTTATTTTGTGAATATTTATCGTTTTATTATGTGTTTATAACATTCAAAATAAATGTTGACATCAGGTGTGTCAGTTCATCCTGGATGATTACATCGCGAGCGGTCAGGGCGCGTGGGCGAACGTATGCGTTACGCAACCGCGTCGTATCTCCGCAGTCAGCGTGTCCGAGCGAGTCGCCAACGAACGGTGCGAGGAACTGGGAAATTCTGTCGGGTACGTACACAATACATACGTCGTAGCAGTTTGTCATACAACATCATATTTATAGTAAATGCACAAACAAATTAAACTCATTCTACATTAATGGTAATACGATTCATCCAGTGCGACGTAATGCCAATAAGATGTATTAGCGTTACATCAACCGGATTTAATACTGAGAGTAACAAATTGTGAGCAATTTAAAAAAATGTTTACTATTTAATATTCTCGGCCACACTACTCAGAAGATTGATCGCGGAAACTGTTTGATTGTCGGCCTATCAATCGACATAAGGATGTTTAGCATAATTTTTCTATTTGATACACCATCCTCGGAGGTTTGTCTACGTTAAATGTTTGCGGTGGTAAGTATTGGATGCGATTGGTGGTTTGCAGTCGAAAATACGCTGTGACGTTAGTCTTAATATTTTTTGTTTACAGTTACTCGGTGCGTTTCGAGTCCGTTTTGCCGCGGCCATACGCTTCAATCATGTTCTGTACGGTGGGCGTGCTACTGAGGAAACTGGAAGGCGGCTTACGCGGTGTCAGCCACGTGCTTGTCGATGAGGTAAAGACTACTGGTAGTAGATGTAAAATTTGGTTTGAAAATCTAATCTAAAAAAGACTAATAGGCTATATTAGTGTACCACGCTGGCTAAGTAGTATAATATAGTTTTATTTCAAGTTCTTTTGCACTCGTATGTCGAGCTTTATTCCTATAATTTTTTTACAAAATCTTGGAACTATTTGACTTGGAATTAACCGTCGTCTATAGACGTGAATACCAGTATATATTGTGACGCTCATTCATTACCATTCCTGATGTATACCGTATTGTACCTTCGCATCTAATTATTTCACTGCCATATTTAAACTTATCTTTATTTAACCTTTTAACCTGTATTTAAACCTATGGGGAGGGGATATTTTAGTTAAAAATGTATACTATAGATCAGGGGTTCCTAAACTTTTAACGGAATATCCACCAAATATCTTTTATTTTATGGAACCCCATATCAAACGATTACAAATCAAAACTACTGTAATTTAAATAAAAACAAAAGCTTTTATTAGGAATATTTTAAAAATACAATACTATAGTTTCCTTTCATTTTTAATGTGAAGAATGAAAGTGTTTCACTGTATAAATAATTTCGCGAAACCTTGATGAATTTTTTATAAAACCCCTGGGTTCCGTGGAATCTACTTTAGGAATCGTTGCTATAGTCCATAATTGTGTATGGCAGGTGCACGAGCGTGACGCAGATACAGATTTCGCGTTGATCCTCTTGCGCGACATGGCGCATACGTATCCTGATCTCCGCATCATTCTTATGTCCGCCACCGTCGACACCACTCTCTTCACCAATTACTTCGGAAACTGCCCGGTTATAGAGGTATGCAATATCATATTACATATCATTATTTGATTCATTTCTTAATATACGTGACTTTAAAATTGCACGATATCGCGCCGCGCTCCGGTGATTTATAAAAGCGGCCAATGATTTTTTTAAGGTGTTTAGAAATTAAAAATATAAATTCAGGTTTATTTATTTATAAGGCACGTACTTTTGGTGGGCATTATAGCTGTGATATTATAGGTGCCCGGCCGCACATTCCCTGTCCGTCAATACTTCTTGGAGGACTGCATCCAGCTGACCAATTTTACGCCACCCCCTGACACGCGCAAACGCAAGTCGTCAGGCAAGAAAGCCAACAAAAATGACGACGATGATGATGATGATGAAGGTAACTTTTTTATTATATTGTTATTTCAGTTACCTATTTATAAATTTGAATTATCATCAGTAAGTGAACTTTATAAATCTATAAGCATTTGTATAATATATTATGAAAATGTTATGTTATTTTTTAACAAACTAATTTTGCTAGCATATTGACCTTATATACTGACAATAATGAATGGAATGTAGTATTACTATTCAAATATTACAATTATTCAAAAGCTTTATTATTTTAACACAGTTCCATTGCACATTATTTTACAAATATTTTTTTATTTATTTTATAATTATGTGCAGGGTGTACATTTCGTGTCATTATAGTGTTTTATAGCTACTTAATTTACTTTATAATAAAACAGGCCTCGGTGCCGACGAACAAGATGAAGACTTAAACAAGAATTGTCAACTAGGCTCTGAATACAGTCCGGAGACTATTAACTCGATGAGACAGTTATCTGAAAAAGATGTAAGTACATAAAGCTGTGTTTACAATTATAAGAATAAAAATTTTTAAAGAACATTTTTTTTTTATTCGCAAATAAATTAATGTCTTGTATATTATATTGAAAAGTTTGTTTCGTTCTATAAATGATATTGTTATTCATTAAAATCCCCGTAGAAAAAATTATGTGTCAAACATAGTAGTATTTAGGGGGCCGGTTATGCAGCGCCCACTTTACAATCGTCTGGTGCCAACCCCAGCGAGAGAAGCTTCGCAGACATATACCCCTTATTTAGGAGGCCAGTCCCCTCCCCCCCTTTTAATTATAATTATATTATTATTAAAAGTAATATAAATATAGCAATTGTGCCAAACACACTCTCACAGCTTTTATAACTCGCCTTATTTATATGTATTAATCCAAGAGACATTTTTATTATATTACAATTTATCTTATTTTTAATTTAATTAAAATAATTATAAAAGTTATTTTCCCTCACAGCTAAGCTTCGAGCTAATCGAAGCTATACTACTGCACATCAACTCATTGGAAGGAGATGGTGCTGTACTAGTGTTCCTGCCGGGCTGGAATTTAATTTTTGCACTCATGAAACACCTCACCCAGCATAGGATCTTCGGAGACACATCTAAATATATTATCCTGCCATTACATAGTCAGATCCCAAGGGATGACCAAAAGAAAGTGTTTGTCACACCCCCACCAGGCATTATTAAGGTAAGTTTTACTTAATAATATCTGGATTTCAAACGGAATTTTCTAAACAGATTATCAACTTAACTGTATTAACTCAATAAATAGGTAACCATTTTTTTTATATATATAAATTAGAATGGAAAACAAGCTGATGGAACATTTGGTGGAAAGTGGTAGCCGTCGCCTATAAACTTAAATAGCACCATAGATATTTTAGATATATAAAAATAAAAAAGGCTTTTGTATTGATTATTATACTTTTTTTTTATTATCAACAGGTTATCTTGTCAACGAACATCGCAGAGACATCTATAACAATTAACGACGTTGTGTATGTGATTGATTCATGCAAAGCGAAAATGAAATTATTTACATCACATAATAACATGACTTCGTATGCTACCGTGTGGGCTAGCAGGACCAATTTGGAACAGGTAATGACTATTCAGATTCTTAGAATCATTACTTGCTAAACATCATTCATCATTACCAAGTTTTTGAATATTACTATATGTGACTGTATAAAAAAAAATGGTGTTATTTGTTTCTAATATAGACTGTGTATTAAATTGAATGTATAGTAAAATGCTGCGAAAATCTATTGAAAACTGAACAAATCTGTCATTTATTTCAAGAAGTTTAACTTAACATATACTAACTTATTCTTGCATAGTTATAATATTACCTTTCGTATTTATTCTTTCACACATTTTATCTAAATTAATTTATTATTATATTCTATTCTTGGGAAAATTATCGCCAAGAAAAAAATATGCTATGTTATTGTAGCGTAAAGGACGAGCGGGTCGCGTCCGTCCCGGAGAATGCTTCACGCTGTGTTCGCGCGCTCGCTACGAGCGACTAGAGGAACACCAAACTGCCGAGATGTTTAGGACACCACTGCATGAACTCGCACTCAGGTATCAGACATAATTTAATAGCATATTGCCATGAATAATAACAAAATAGTTGTAAAATTATTTTAACAGACTTCGCTAATTTGTAGTATTGGGTAATTATTATAATAATTAAAAAAAAAATGCTTAAAACTATATTTGCTAATGGCATAGATGCATTTGTCGACTCTGGACATTGCTGTGAATATATTACTTAATATGCCCACATTTAGCCGAGTATAATGAGGGGTTGAGCTGGCTACTGTCACCTAGTACTCAGAATATTTTTGGTATGCTGATGTTATTTTCTATTATCATAGAATTACTTTGATAAATATTATTTGGCATACAAAATCATACAAAAGATCCATACTCATAACCTTTTATTATTTCCAGCATCAAACTTCTCCGGTTGGGTAGCATTGGTCATTTCCTATCGAAGGCCCCTGAACCACCGCCATTGGACGCGGTGATTGAAGCGGAGGCACTGCTTCGCGAGCTAGGATGCCTCGACCCTTCTGCTGGGGATGCGCTCACTCCCCTAGGAACTATTCTCGCCAAGCTGCCCATAGGTATACATAACTTAGTCTATAGACTTCTTCCTTACTAGTTGTCTATCTGTATACGTCTACATGAAGCATTGCGTTCAGAATTGTTATGATTAACGGTTTGAAATTGTGAGACAATTGGTTGTTCCTTAAGTAGTAATAGGAAAACTGGTAGTAAATTAAATGTAAATAAAATACAGAATAAGCACCCTAGCCAAGATGATATATTAGATAGTAGATTGTAGGTTGGAGTTAGAATAGATAGCGTATATTAAAATTGTAATAATATAATAAGTAGTTTACATGTACATAAGATGGAAAAAAATAGTTAAAAGCCTGGAAATTAATATCCAAGGCCGGCGTATTATAAAAAAAAAAAACTATACATTCACAGTGGATTAACCATCAAAAAAGAAGGAGGTTTTCAATTCAGTTGTATTTTTCTTTTTTGTTTGTTACCTCGTAATTTCGTCATTAATAAACTAATTTAGAAGATTGTTTTTTCAATTAAAAGTATATACTTTCTTATTAGTCATTTCATCAATCATTTTAGTAGTTTGGTTTTTAAATAAAAGTATTTTTTTTTATAAACATTTTTATGAATAAATGTAGTCATAAGCTCTTCATGTTACAGAGCCACGACTGGGCAAGATGATGGTACTGGGCTTTGTGCTTGGTGTGGGCGACGCGCTAACCACGATGGCGGCCAACTCGACCACGTTCCCGGAGATCTTCGCGCTGGAAGGCCGTCGGAGGCTTTCGATGCACCAGCGGGCGCTCGCCGGAGACCGCGCCTCCGACCACGTCGCTATGCTCAACGCATTTCAAGTAACTATCCTATACAAAAATCACAGTTTAAAAAAATTATGCATCCCGAATAATTATGTAATCATGTGGGATATGGCAAATGTGTTACACTTATCTCAATCCTATGCTCCAAGTGCTAAAAGTGACTTTCAAATAATACTTGTCACACGCCTTGACAGAACAGTATATCCCATATTGTCATATAATCATTCAGCACATATTGAATTTATTTACCTCTATCAACCTTATGTACAAGGTGCTAAAATTGATTTTCAAATAACGTCACTACGGTCTACATTGAATTGTAGTGTTAGCTGCAGTTAAAAAATTTTTGTAATGGATTTCAGATGTGGGAGAGAGAGCATGCCAAAGGAGAAGAACAAGAAATAAAATGGTGCGAGTGGAAGGGTGTACAGCAAACTACATTGCGTGTGACATATGAAGCTAAATATCAACTCATGAGTGAGTAAAAACTTGTATTAAAAACATATGCTTGTTTTAACTATTTAGGTTGTCATGACTAATTTTCCAGACATAAATCACAATGGTTTCACGGAAGACCATGTGGACGTTTACCTGACAGGGTATATTGTTAGCAATGGGGTCACTATTAACAATCCCTTCCTCCCATTTATGTATATTTCTGTATCTTTTCAGATATCCTTACATCAGCTGTTGGATTTTCGGAGGAGTGCTGCATACCACAGCGGTGGAACCCGAACGGTCCTGATCCAATACTGGATGTGGTGATTGCACTCATGGCCATGGGGCTGTACCCTAATGTCTGTTTGTATCAAGGCAAACGGAAGGTATACATATTTTCGAATAATGTTTAGAGTAGATATAACAATCATTGTGATTTGATATGATTTTTAAAAATTTATGCCCATCATAATATTCATTTTAAACTGTCTTGTAGTCTATAATACTCCTATAATTAAAAGTAATAAACTTCATCCTCTTATAATCTATTGTGTAACTTTATTCTGCATCAAACATACAAATATATGTTTACATTTAAATGTTACACCCTTTTCTTAAAAAAAAAAAATATTTTTTTTAGGTGCTAACCACAGAAGGCAAGCCCGCTCTAATCCATAAGACGTCTGTAAACTGCAGCAATCAAGAGCAAAAGTTTCCTTCGCCGCTGTTCGTGTTTGGCGAGAAAGTGCGGACGAGAGCGATCAGCTGCAAACAAACCACCATGGTCGCGCCATTGCATATTCTTCTATTTGGTAGCAGAAAAGTCGAATGGGTAAATATTAGTTTTTTCTTATATAGAAATAGTCACAATGAATATACCAAGCCTAAAGTTAGTGGTAGCAGTATTCATCTAATTAAACAACTTTCCCTAAAGAGCTCAGTCAAAAACTTGAAATATATTTTATAGATTTTCGGACATATCGCAGATTGATAAGAATAAAATACCTAGCTGTCTCTGCGACTTAGTTTTCGAAACACAAATTGAAAAAAAAAATTAGAAGATTGAAGATAGAAATTACCAAAAATATTTTATATTAAAAATATATATATATATATATATATATATTTTTAAAGTATATATTTTTATTTTTAAATTATATATATAACATATTTAAATTAAAAAGATCTACAATTGCCTAATAGCCATAGTTCTGCTTAGTTCGGTAGTAAATAGTACTGTAAGATGAGTGGATTATTGATCAGTAACTTTTTTTCCTGGTTGATGTCTGGTTTGTCATGTCATACAAATAATAATGTATATTTCAGTGTTATGCAGTAGATCAACAGTAGCACAAAAAATACATTTTGTAATTTGAATATCTGTCACGTATCAGGTGGACAATGTGGTCCGTTTGGACAACTGGCTAAACTTCGATATGTCTCCGCGGTCAGCCGCGCTAGTGGTGGCCCTACGGCCGGCTATTGAGCGGCTTGTAGAGCGCGCCGCCTCAGAACCTGATGCTGCTTTGCAGTTTTCGCCCACTGAGCAGAAGGTCAGTTTTTTTTTATTTCATCAAGTTATGGCAAGAGATATCTATACACTTTAAGAATGAACCAAAATATAAATTGGTATATCCATACACCACAGCGATTTCCACTTTGGTTTATATTTATGAAGGTTTTTTTAATGGATGATTAAAGAATGATAACCCCGCCTGCGCTATCGGTATACACCGGCGGAGCACCAGTGAGGGATGATAAGTGAAAATTAAAGAGCAAGTCAGTTAGCCCAGCGTTATAAATTATCCTGGAATTCAGCACGATAGTTTTCATGGGAGACTACTTGGAGGTCGACCTGACGGGGTATATTATTAGTAATGGGACTGGTAGGCTGCATTACTAACAATCCCTCCCCCCATTTCTGAAGAGTCAACTATAGACTGTGAGGCATTTGTTCTCATACACAAAATATACTAAATCGATTAGGAAAGTCCATAGGCTGTGCTTCTCGCAAAGCTAAAGTAATTTATATTAATAAGAGATATAATAAGTTTTTATTTACAACCATCTAGATTAGACTGTAACAATATAGTAAAGCTATAAGTGCATCACAAACTGAAAATTTCGGGGAAACTTTTGATACTTGAAATACAATGGATTTTTTGCTCGTGATTTTTTTTTTGCTGTCATTGTATTATTTGTGGTAGTTAACGCGAATCACACAACTGCCGCCGATGTAGCTTTGGTATTGGGTTAGTTTTTTTTATTTACTCCTATTAAATTTTGATTTTCAGGTCCTTAACTGCCTCAAAGCTCTCTGCGTAATGGATGCCGGTGATTACAATATCCACCGAGAGACTTCCATACCTACATTTAGACCAGACGGGTCAAAACGAGGCTCCTACAGAGGATGGGGAACAAGTGGGCCCCGTGGTGGATTTGGGGTTGGTAGTTATGGTAGCCAAGGCAATAGTAATTATAGTGGAAACCGAAGAGGCTTTGGCGGAAATAGGGGAGGTTTTGGCGGGAATCGGGGAGGTTTTGGCAATAATCGAGGAGGTTTTGGTAATAATCGAGGAGGTTTCGGCGGTAACCGAGGAGCTTTTGGCGGCAATCAAGGAGGTTTTGGCGGCAACCAAGGAAGTTTTGGCGGTAACCAAGGAAGTTTTGGCGGTAACCAAGGAGGTTTTAACGATAATAAAGGTTCCTCTTGGGGCAACTACAATCGTGGCAGCGGATTTAGAGGCAGAAGTAACCGTGGAGGCTGGCGAGAAAACTCGTGGTGAAAATCTCAATCATTCCTTGTCATAGACAATTCTATGTTAATTTTAAATAATCTAATTATTAAAGTTATAAATAAATACATCTAATAAAAATTATCTAATTTCATTTTACTTCTGTAGTTAAATATTTTACATAATGACAGATCTAATGGCTACTTAACAAAGTAACAAATTTAAGGGATATCACAGGCCAAAAGTATATAACAAATTTTGTTATTCAACAGGATTTTGCACAACTATCAAAATGAATTCTTTATCTGGTGCCACCATCACTTCACTTTTCTTGCTTCTAATTCTTAAGAATGTTAAATCATTTGAAGGGTCCAAGTCTCTGACGACAGCTTTCGCCTTGTCAACCAACGCTGTCATGAGTCCAGCATACTGGACGGAAACATGGTTGTCCAAAGTTGTTTTGATGGGAATACCTTCGCCGTTGACTACTATAACGCCGGCTACGCCTTTATGGGTGGAAAGCTTACGAACAGTCTCTTCAGCTTCGTTTGCCATTTATCTTGGGTTTTATTTGTAAAATGCGCAGATGTGTAACATATCAATGAACGTTGACGTTTATTAAAAACGAAATTTGAATAGGAATTTTTTTTTATAACTCAAGATGCAAATTGTTTGTAGATTTACCTTTCGAAATAGTTTTAATAGAATTCAAGAAATGGATATGCACCTTATAGTGTATGGTATGGATACTAGTATGCTTAGATTATTTAGTATATAAACACGTTATATTGTCTGTACTAGTATGTATACTACATACATAATAGTATCTGTTATATTATTTGTGGTATGCAGATATCAGGTCAAATTTCATAGTAATTGATTGGCTTAACCAATTAAAGAAATTAAGATACTAAAAAGTAACAAACAAACAAACTCACTTTAGTTCTTGACGCTTTAAAGACTCAAATAATAGTCAAGGAATTTAATATACACGTACCAAGTATGCGATCAAGGAGAACATAAGATACTTTTATCCCTGTCACGTGAAGTCGCGGCTAAAAGCTATATATGAGATATTACATGAACGACTGAATTATAAAAATTCATAGAAGGATCGGAATAATAAAAAATCTACTATATAAAAAAAATTGCATTTATTAAATTTTTTATTGCACTACTAATATAATTTACTACTGCTATTGCATATAAATAATGTGATACACATTATTCACTTTTAAAAATAATATATAAAGTAATAAAAATATCTACGAGCACTAGTGAGGATTTTAGACCAAAAATTTTTTTTTTATGACATATTTAAATTGGCAAGCAAACTGACGGCCCACCTGATGGAAAGTAGTAACTGTTGCCTATAGACATGAACAATAATGATGATTGTTAATGAAACATTATTTCAAAGCATTGCAGATACTCTATATATAGCTATAATTTGAATTTTATGACCTTACTATGTAGGAAATGACAATCATAGTAAGTTGATAAAATTGCCCTTATACATATATGAAGACGTCGTTAAAAATAAATAAAGTTTTAAAAAATAATATTGCAGATAAATTTTTAAATAAATATAGCAACAGTCTCAATGTATCATGATTTTAATCACAACACTATGTGATATGAATGTTAAGTTAGTATATTTGTTCTAAAATTCGTCTGTCTGAATTGTAATGATTTCTCTAACTTTTCATAGTATATATTACAATAATTTTTTCTGTAAAATTAAAAACAATCTAAATTATCGCGATTGAAGCATAAATCACAAACTAGTTACTTAGGTAATAAGTACAATTTATTTTCTATAATATACTATAACCAATAGATCACACTATTTGTTTTTGTTAACAAGAGTCGAATCTTTATTGATAATCTTATACAGTCTGGATATCAATTACGGCTATATCAACTTATAGTATAGATACTAAAGGTGCAAGTTCTTTATGCTTTTTTTATATTAGGGAATGGTCAAGTATTACGTAACGCAATTTTCAGACTTGAGCTGAAGGAGAGGGAAGGATCCTTCCCCCTCCCCCCTATGTAATCCGTCGTAACACGAACATTCACTTATATACTATTTTCTTTTTCTTATTTTTTACTACAAATTAGTTTTCTTATGGTATATATATTTATTTGATGTCTATTTTTTATCTTGATTAATTTTTTTAGTTAAATACGTCAATTAAATATTGAATATAGTGTGTGCTTTTCTAGGTACTTGTATCAGATCTAATTTTACATATATATTATTTGTATTTTAAAGTATTATACATGTACTGTAGGTGTGTCTTGATAAAGAAATAAATAAATATTGAATCCCTATAGATAGAAATGGTTGTTAATTATATTTCTTTATTAACCAATGTAACAGTTTTTGTCATACAGTGGCAAGTCAATATTTACATTATAATTTTGAAATTAATAAAATAAATAATAACAATAATAATAACATTTGAATTATAAAATAAAAATAATATTACAAATTAATTATAGTTAACATTATAAAATAGTTACTACATGTTAATATAATGGTAACTATATACCAATAATGTTGACTTCAAGTTATAAAATTGGAATTGTCATACTTATTACAATTAAACACAAATAATAATGTCATAATTTAATATTGGCATATAGGTATTTGGTCACGTTGTAAAAAGGATGTTGTTCAAAATATGTCTTTTTTTTTATTTGTTTCTCGGCAATTGCATTACTGTATTGGGTAATTTATTATACATTTTTATTTTTAGATGTATGCCTTGTTTCATCATTTTTGTGAGTCGTGTTCTTGGCAATTCCAATTTCTTATAAAGAATTTTCTCTCAATAATCTAACTCTCTGTCAATATCTCTTCTCCATGTTTTTGTTTAGTTTCAACTTGTAAATAAAGAGGCATCCTTCCACTTCTGAGTTTCTCTCTTTTATGCACTTTTAGTTGATGTTTCATCATTTGTTTTCTATATCCAAAAGCTTTACCACAGACATTGCATACATGATCCTTAATACCAGTATGATCAACTTTGAAATGCAAGTCTAAATTTCGTTTGGTGTAAAATCCTCGGCCACATAAGTTACACTTGAAGTCATGTACACCTTTATGTGTTAACATATGCTTGTTCAAGTTACTTTTGTTTACAAATCTTGATGGGCATTGTGTACACTGATATGGCTTTTCACCTGTATGAGTTCTCATGTGCATTTTGAGTGATTCACTAAATCTTCCCTTATATGGGCATAAAGAACATTTAAATGGTAAGCTATAGAAATGTGTTAATCTATGTCTTGTGAATTGTCCTTGGACAATGAATATTTTACCACAAATATCACACATATAAGTGTTCTCAAGTTTGTGCAATGCCAAATGCTTCTTAAAATACAACGCTGTATATGTATTTTTACATATAGGACATGTATGTCTCATGTTCTCATGTTCTTGTGATAGTCTATGCTCACTATATTCATTAAAGCTTTGAAAGTCCAAATCACATCTCTTACAGTGATAGTTTTTAGTTTCTTTACATTTCTCCTCTTCATACTCACATGCATTATCTTCTCCTATATCATTAGTCAAGTCATCATTATCTGTTAACAGCATTGATTCTTGTGTAGGTCGCTTTAGCAATTGGTCAGACTGCTGAGCAGTTTTTCTGAATAATATTGCCCCTAATAACAATGCATGACATGTTTGGCATATATATTTTGGATAATCATCATCTGCTTGAACATCCAAACCACCAAATAAGTTCAGTTCTTCAGATATATCACCTGTTCCTTTATTATCATAGATCGGTATTTCACCCTCTTTCAAACATACTCTGCAGATTTTTTGGGCAACATCATTACTTGATATTGCTGAATCTTTTCCAATATCGTCACAAGATGATCCTGGAATATCCATAGTTTCCTCTGTTCTGTATAAGTGTAGCTTTTTATTTTGGCATTTAAGTTTACAATGTAGCATTTTTAAGAGTAAAGCACCCACCATTGCAGTTCTTTTTTTTTTTTTTTTGAGTGTTGTGTAACTTTTCAACTTCCAATAATGTAAAAGCTCAAACTAGATAACTTGAATTTTGCCCAAGTATCTAATTGATTAGGACTGTTTTATATGAAATTTTCTGAAATTCAAAGATAGTTTAAGATTAAGAAATAATTAATAAGTAGGCAGGCTAGGTAATCATACAGAATTTACTTAAAATATAAAATAATTCTGTGATAAATATACAGAATATTATCATGCAACCAAAACAAACGTAAAAAATTCTTGGAAGTTATTTAATTACCTGTTTAGGAGTGAAAAAGAAAGCCATACAATTCATATTATTTTTGGTCTTATTAGTCTAAATGTAAAATATAATAAAATGCATTTTAAATAGAAAAAAATAAAAATTTCTAATCAAATTTAAAATTGATTGACTGACTAACATAGTGGCAATGACTTTACTGTAGGGGTGTTCGATATATATCGATATTAGCTTTCGATATATTGAATTGATTTGATATTAGCAAATGACTAAATATCTATATTAAAAATCGATATATTTTATTCTAGCCAAAAAATCGTTTCAAATACTTGATCAGATTTGGTATTACTCTATGGTAGGCTTACATTATGATATAACATTATGATTTGGAGTGGTAGTTGCCTTTGTGGCAGCTGCACAAATAAGGGCCGTTCGACCGGCGATATAAAAAATCGATATATTTTATTCGAACCCAAAAATCGTTTCAAATACTTTATCTGATTTGGTATTACTCTATGGTAGGCTTACATTATGATATAACATTATGTGCCACCCTCTTATAGAATATCGTCATGAAATAGCAGTACTTGCACTGTCGTGTTTCGTTTGGTAAGTGAGAGTTCCGAAAGCCCAAACCCCTGATCCCCGGCTTGTTCAAATGCCGTAAGTAAAATTAAAGAGATAGTCAGATCAAATCAACAAGAGGATTTATGTACTGCTACGGGATCAGATTCTGATAGTGCATCAGACAAACTTTCTCAGACAGAGTTTAGACTCTGGAGTGATCATCACAAATTAGTTCAGTGGAATTAAAAAACCAATAAAACTGACGAAAGCCTTTCAGTTGAGATAACGCTTTATTTAAGGGCTCCAGTTAGTGGATTTAATGAAAATCCTTTGGAAGTATAAATGGATTACAAGGTACAATTCTGTTCCATCTGAATGGCTTTTTTCAAAGGCCGCGCAAGTCTTAACATAACAAAGAAATCGACTGCAAGCTAAACGAGCAAGGATTAAATAAGAAATATTTGTGTCTTTAATTTTTTTTTTCTAAATTATAGTTGATTGAAATATTTACATGGTCGTGATTTAATTATTTACCCTTAATTAATTTTTACCTTTCCTTTTTTGATTAATAATTGAATATTATATACGATATATCGCAAAATTCGATATATCATATCGAAATAAAATATCGATATAATTTTCAGATGACATCCCTACTTTACTATTAATCTAAAGATTTCAATACCTATTGTCAAAGTTGTCAATTAATTGCTGTCAATCAGTCAGCATTTCATAATCAGCAGTTTTACTATAGATTTTCTTTTATTAGTCACAGTGTACTTTCTATTTTTGAGAATAATTAACTATATTATATTACTTACTGGCAGAAAATAATTTTTGGTAACAAGTAGAAATTAAGAATTTAGAGCTTTATGCTTTTTTTCTAATTTAAATGTGTACCATCAATTAAGTATTAAACCTTATTGCAATTCTAAATTGTAGCAAGTACTTCAAACATTAAAATGGTTGGATCGTTAATGCTTTTAAAATTATTACAACATACTCGTAAATGTAGGTACGATGACGAAAAAATAGCTAATAAAAGTAAAGATAAGGTTGTAAATCAATTGACGAATTTAGGAACATCTAATAATCTTATTGCACCAAAACATGAATTCATGAAAACAAAAAGCTGTAAAGATGAACAGAAAATTTGTAGAGTATGTCTAAAAGAAGGTGTTATTTTGATCTTTGGCGGTAAAGAATGTAGCACAACAAGCAATTTAACAGAAGCATTGAAGTTATTTGGCGGTTTAGATGTCCATGTAGATGATGTTTATCCAAAATATTTATGTGATAAATGCCACACTTTTTTGTTAAGTGCGATATTATTTCGAGAAACAGCACAGAAGTCTGATCAATTCTTAAAACAATCAACACAGAAGTCAGTGACGACAAATAATGAAGAAATGCTTGTGAAGAAAGAGCATAGAGAAAGTCACACATATGAGTTTGAAGAGGACATAGAATTTAAGGAAGAATATAAACAATCTAAAGAGAACCCTAATGGAAAAGAATATAGTACACATGGATGCAAAGAAGAGAAAACAACAGCAGTCACTAAAGAATTTAAAAGTTATCATTGTTTGAAATGTAATTTATCATTTGAAAATATAACTGAATATAAGGAGCATAAAAATATGAAGATTACATGCTCTATATGTAACAAGTCATATGAACATTCATATATGAAAATCCACAGGGCATTACATGATACACAGATACGACTTCAGAACAGTTATATGTGTGACATATGTGGCAAACTTTGTCATAGGAAGGGATGGTTTACAAGGCATAGGGAAACTCACTTCTATAGCTTGCCATATAAATGTTCTTTATGTCCTTACAAAGGACGATTCCCTGATACCCTCAAAGCACATATGAGAACTCACACAGGGGAGAAGCCATTTCAATGTACAGAATGTTCATATAGATCATCATGCAAAAGTAACTTAAACAAACACATGGCAATCCATAGAGACAAACAGTTTAAATGTAATTTGTGTGAACATGTATTTTCCACCAAGCGTAATTTAGAAGTGCATTTAAAACATTCCCATATGGGTATCAAGGAACATGTGTGTGATATTTGTAATAAGGCATTTTCATCCAGGAATAAAATGAATTTTCATCAAATAAGAATACATAAGAGAGAAAAACGCAGAAGTGGTTTGACACCTCTTTATTTACAAGCTCAAACTAAAGAATAGATTGGAGTACCTAAAGTAGATTAAAAGTAGCCTATTGATTAAGAGTGCTTCTTTTTTTGTTTGATTTTGTTATTTTTAAAGATTTTTTTATTAAAAGAATCAGTACACATGGAGATTTTTATTTATTTATCAAATATGTGTAAACATTATAATAAAGAGTAATAAAAATTTTTTGACCTCTACTGAACTTAATTTTTTTATATATACATAATTTATAAGAAAAGTAAAAAAAAAATTGTGGAACTACAATGGAGCTACTGAGATAAATGCTTATGAACATTACAACCTTTTTTGGGGAAATCAACAGGATACTAAATTAAAAAACAAATAGAAAAAGTTTATAAATAATTTTATTTAAACACACAAATTCATTACTCATACACAAACTCAGTTTTACAAGAACATGGGTACATATGGGTGATTTGACCATAATGCAATAACAATTATAAATGGATTTCTCTTAAAGAAAGTTATTAAATATTTCAGTAGTAATAATTCGGCGGTTAGAGACTAACACTTCCTGGCAGACAAAATATTTTTAGGCATTTCACTAACATGCCTATTTTTCTTTCTATGTTGCATAGAGAAATATTTTTTATATATTGAGAATCGGTGACGTAGTTTTTGAGTTTATTCATTACAAATGAATAATTCTAGTTAAAATATTAATTCTGACAGACTATTTTGGTAATACATGTGACCAAAAAATTTAGAACCCGCGCGAATATAACAATAAAATTTGATTCTTTTTTTAATCACCTCAATATATCCATGTCTATACATTTTTATAAATATATATTATGCATTACATTTTATAGTCCCGAGTCGTTTCCTTAATCTAACATGTGAAGAGACAAATCACATTAAAAACTTAGGATATGTTAACAGGACGAAATAAATCGATTTTAATATGAATTGTATTATTCACAAAAATCATATATAGGCTCATATAGATATGCTATGATACAAGTTTAATCAGCTTCATATAGATCATATGACTCAAGTATAGTCAAAATTAAGAATAACCGTCCATAATTGTGATATCCAAGTAACGCATTCCAACTTTAATATAATAAAATTATAACTAGTTTTAAATTTAATTGAATATCTTTAATACTAGTTACAATTATTATCTATGTAATTGTTTGAGGTGATGAAGGATATGATATGTTCAGAATAATTTGTTTAAATAAGCTTAAAATCTAAAATACAATTAATACTACTTTGAACATAGTGATTACTTATGAAGCTGATTGTACAAAAAAAAAAAAATTAAGGAGTGCACAGATAGAGACTAATCCTCTTTTTTCTTGTGTTCCAATGCCTAATGTTGTGTTTTATGGCATGTCCACAGAGAAATCTGTGCATGCCTTCATAGTGCCACCCATTATAATAGGATATTAAAATTTCATAGGCTGTAACAAAGGGTAGCGAGTCAAAATTCAATGACAGAAGTTATGAAACTGAAAAGATTTCCTCAAGGAAAGAATAGAAAGAAAAAATAATTTTTAATCAAATCCTTATAATCACATAACAACAAAGGTCCTCAGTTCAGTTTTATGAATGTTATGAGCAATAATTTCTTTGCAACAGTTAAGTAAAGATGAATAAGGTCATGATTAATCGGTGTAAACAATATACATGATTATTAAAGTTCTTAGGTATGAATTTATATATATATATATTCATCCTTTTATTATACCGTAGTTTATGTACTATGTAGATTTTGAGAATATGAAAGTCAACTTTACAATCTATAGCAAAAGAAAAATGTATTTAGTAAATTAAAAAATGAAAAGAGGTACCCTTAATAGATTGATATTACATAAAATATAATTAGGTATTTTAAAGTATAAACAATGTAGGACTTTCTACAGACATTTTAAACCAAAATAATTCAGTATAGCTCTTTCAACTTATTTCCTAAATTATTTATTCATCAATGAATAACCATTTAAAAAATAATAATTCTCAATAGTATACTCAAATCAATATAATACATCAGATGGTATCAAAATGTTTTGCCAAAAAATAAACTAGGAATGTCCAATCGGTAGCTAAATTAATTGAGATTATTGATCACATCAATTTAGTATCTTTTAGTGTGCTTATTTACTTACTTAGTTTACTATATATGTATGACAAAAACAGCAAGTTCTTTAAAAAATATAAATAAAATATTTTAACACATTTTTTGCAGGATGTTAATATAAGTGAATTGAGAGCATATCGCGCATTGAGATCAAAGCTGTCCAAAGTCTACATAAAAAGCTGCAAGTAATTATTAAAGGAATCACTGCGAAAAAAAATTCGACTTGTGACAGTATGCGTCTAAGAGGTGATATTATTATTCGTACGTAGGTATTATAAATTTGCAATCACCTTTTTCCCATTTAAAGATATTACTGATTACATTACCAGTTCAATACAACCTCTTTCTAGAATGTTCCTGACGCTTCTGATACCACATAATGCCTAAAACTACAATGACTATTATAACAATGGCTATGCACATCATGTAGAGGAAGGTCTTGATGCCTGACATAGCAGGTTTTTGGTCCTCTATTCTCTCTCGTGGTGCCTCGAAAGAAGCAGCTGATGGAATTATCTGAGATCTGTCCTCATCTCTGTTTTGCTGTAATTAAGAGAAAATTAATTAATTACTTATACTAACAAAATAATTATGATCGTGATAAATAACTAAAATTATGAAGTAATTTACCGATATTGTGCATTTGTAATTAAAGCTATTATACAGTATTAGTTCTTATATTAATGCAGTAGTTATTTCAAGAACTCACCGTGTCCAAGAGGTCGAGTTCGAACATCTTGATAGCCACAATGTCGTGGTTGTCGCTTAGGTCTCCAGTGGTCGCCGACGCCCCGAAGTAATATCCAGTTGGCAGTAAAACATTCTCCACTCGTAGACATTCTTTCCAAGCGTTCTTTCCTTCTAAGTCGGTAGACACTGCAAGAAGATAATAGATTGTATGAATAACAATTAAACACTTAAAATTTTTAAATATTTCGTCTGGAGGGAAAGAAGGGATTGTTAGTTATTAGGCTTAGCGGTTCCATTGTTAGCAATATGCCCCTGTCAGGTCGACCTCCACGCGGTTCCCCCTGGAAACCATCGTGCTGAATTCCAGATGTATTCATCACGATGGGCTAACTGACCTGTTTCATCCTCGCCTACTCACTGGTGCCCCGCCAGCATATACCGTTAGCGCAGGCGGGGCTACCATTCTAATATCATCCATTAAAAAAACTATGTTTAAAAAAAAAAATTCAAATCGGTTTACAACTGACGGAGTTATGAGGTAACAAACATAATAAAAATATACAACCGAATTGAGAACCTCCTTTTTGGAGTCTGTTGTAAAAATAAATTTTTGTCGGTAATTTTCGGATTTATATTCCGATTTAGGAAGGTGTTGACACAAATCTTGCTTGAAGGATCATTTCAAGGGCAAGAAAATCGTTTGGACATTAATGGTAAGAAAACAAGGCAAAATAAGTCCAACATTAAATTTAATAAAAACAGTGGAATTAAATTCAGTATCAGGAAGTCACAAACAGAAAATATCAATTTATCATCATCTTTTAGCCCTTTTTCTACATCTAATTTGGGTCAGTGTAATGTTTTATTCGTCATTTCATCTCTATTAGCATATAGTCCATCCACTTGTTTTTGGGGCCTTCCTCTACACTTGCGACCGTTTAAATTCATCTTGCTAATATAATAAAATTATAAAAAATATTATATATATATATATATATATATATATATATATATATATATATATATATATATATATATATATATATATATATTATATAATAATAATAAGAGGGGGTCTTAATATATATGCCAAAAACAAGATTTTTTTTAAATTTTGTCTCTCTGTGTGTTTATTTCGGCATGGATTTGATAACTATTAGAAATCTGGTGTATGTTTTATTTTGACACGGCTATATGATCTATCTACTATCAGGATTTACGTCAGTTCTGTCGTGACCACGACATGGTGCAATCCACGTCGGCAATAAAGAAGCAGGTATGTAGATACTATTTACCTGTAAAAGTTTTTACATCGTGTTAAGTCTTGATTGTGTATTTAAAATATGTGTAAACAATACGAAAGTTTAAAATTAACTATAGGATCTATGTTTCCTACTTTTGAAATCTACGCATACAGAGTAGCGGTGAAAAATATATTTTTCTTACAATATTTAAATTTAGTTGAATTCTATTCCATTAATATTATAAATTTGAAAATTCATAAAGATGTTTAGTTATCTGTTACTTAATTACGCTTTGATGGCTGAATGGAGTTGAATAAAATTTGGTACATAGATGTTACATATACTGGATAAGACATAGGGTACTTTCATTATAATTCACGCGGGCAAAGCTGCGTGAAAGCGCAAGTGAGTATTGTGTTCGGGTTAAAAACTTACCCGTAAGTGTATCGTCCCGGTACGTGATGGAAATGTGCGTGTCGTGGTTATAGTTGCGGAATTTTGCTTCGCAACCGGACAGCTGCGTGTGCGTGCCGTCGCGGTCGTGGTCGTAGTGCATAGTGCCGTTGTTCACCATAGCCGAAATATATGGGTGTTGGTGCTGAAAGGTTACGATTGTAGATATATTAATAAATGTTGAAAGTATGTACACTACCCTACAATAGTAATTTAATAAAAAGAAAGAAAGAAATTCTTTCTAATAAAAAAAAAAAATGGTTCCAATAAATACATTATTAAACAAAAAACTGAGTTGTAACCCTTATGGCACGCAAGAAAGAAAAAGAAATTGTTACTTTATATATACGAGTATATTGCTTTTTTGTGTATACATTATTTTGTCTCTTTACTGTGTATGTCTGTTGTTATTTGTGTGTTGTAAGTAATCCAAATAAAATTATATATATATATATATATATATATATATATATATATATATATATATATATATATATATATATATATATATATATATATATATATATATATTATATTTTCACCTTAAAAAAATGTTTTTTTTTTAATTCAAATAGAATGGCAAACAAGCAGATGGCTCATCTGATGGAAAGTGGTGACTATCGCCTATAGACATGATTAGTACCATGGACATAATAGCGTATACTTATAAACAAGCATTAGAAATTTGTGCAGATATCAATGACAAAATGTCCCTTTGCGGATGTCGTGTCGATATTTGACGACATGTGTATATCATTACGATTAAGTAAAAAAAAAGAAGGCCTGAGAACGATCGTCGAAAAGATGAGAGCAGTCTTAACAACGATTCGCTTGCCTATGTCCAGTTAAGCAGGTTCACATTTTTCATTATACATCCCTTCCGTTGCAGCATTTTAAAGGTATTATTATCACAGAATTAAAATTTATAGAGAAGATTTATTTATTTATATATAGTATTGTCTCTCGTCGGATATAAAAGCGTGGGAACATAGGACAATAAAGAGACATTTTGTCTGTTTAATATTCTTTTCCATTCTGGATTTTATTGGAACAGAACTGTTATAGACTTATGATCGCCTGTTGTTTGTTCGTGACCAAAATTATATAGAAATATTTATTTAATATAACAGTAAATTTATAATTATAATAAACAGTGCCAAACAATCACAGCAATTGGTTGATCTTCAAGCTAGGATATCCGATGTATAATACAGGGTGTAAGGGACACGTTAGCAAAAATTAAGACCATTATTCTGAATTAAAAACCAGTGGCAATTCTGTCCGATTTGTTTTTTGTTCATTTAAATTCATGTTATACGAGGTTTGATATTATGTTATTATATGATGAAATAATAAAATTTAATAATAGTGAAGTATTATGAAAGTCCTCTGGTTGTAGGTTTCTCACTTCGAACACATGAAACAGCAAGAAGAAGTCACACGTAATATTCGGTCACCGTAAAATTTTTACTCAAAAACTCACGACACAAGAGAGGTATCAGTTGTGTAAAGAATCCAACGGTCAATATGCATATGAAAATTACCATCATGAAGAAGCGTCCGTTGATGGCGCGCCACTTGTGGACGGTTGGTTCCTTCACAGCATCATCCCCATAAACTGTTCTGAGATCGTCGCGCGAGAAACTTGATTACGACGCGCTGCTCTTCAACGGAAGCGGGCTCCATGCCGACGGGGTTTCGTTAAGAGGTAACTTCACAGATGGCGTGACAAGCCAGTTCGCACCGCACGGCGGTCAGACCAGAACTGAAGCATTGTTAAGGACATAAGGAAGGGGTCCTGCGCTTACGTCATAAAAATTCATTCCAGAACACTTTTATACGAACTTTCCGCAGTCAATAATGTTATTATATGAATAATAAAATTAATTATATGGCTGTGCAATGTAATATTCCTATATAATAATATGCATCCTATATATGGCTAATAATCCTATATAAAATTCAATACATCGCCGCGTCAAAATTAAGAATCGTTAATTATATGGCTGTGCATTTTCGGTGAAAAAATAATCTGGCATCTGATTCAGAATCAGACATTTTAGTTTTGGCCAACTTGTCCCTTGCATCCTGTATAATTATGGGTAAAATTTCATATAATTATATTATGTATTACAGTAACCATTTACTGTTTACTATAATAGATGTTATAAATAATGATGTTGTAACAAACAGCTGCTTATACTCACATTATGAGCACCATTATGATTACTGTAGGTGTCCAGTATGATCGCCAGGCCATAGAAGTAGTCCTTACTACCGAATACAGGACCGGGTTGCATGCGATCTCGGACGTACCATATCGCGAACCCGTCGCCAAACAAGTCTTTTCCTCTGCCGTGCACCTTGAATTGTACTTGAAGCTCCCAATTGCGTGTATAACATGGCTGTGGATTTACAGATGGAAATTATGTGAAACATAAAATTAACAAACTACTATTGTACAAAATTATCAACAATCTATATCCCACTCTTCTTTCTACTGCAGAGCATTCTTGCGTTATTGCTTGCATGACTGTTTTCTTTTGAAAGGTGGGATATCGCTGGCATTGAAATTACAGAATACACATGAATGGTTTTTTTAGTGGATGATGATGGAATGGTAACCCTGCCTGCGCTATCGATATTCACTTGCGGGGCGCCAGTGATAGGTGATCGATGAAATGAAAGAGCGGGTCAGTTAGCCCATCGTGACGAATGCAACGATAATTTAGTCACAATGGTTCCCAGGAGTAACCGCGTGGAGGTCGACCTGATAGGGTATATTGTATAGTATATATAGCAAGGGGGAATAACCTCCTAATTGATAACAAACCCCCTCCCACATGAGTGGTACTGTGAGCCACTTAAGCCACACTATATTCTGTGATTTTCAGTTTATAGGCTACGGTTATAATTTCTTTTCAAATGGGCTAAGTGTTTGCTATTTACACATTGTATAAAAGTTAAAATTACAAGTTGTATAAAAAAGTACTTGTATATAATTATGATTGTGTCAATGTAATAATTAATTATTATTATGTAGTAGTGAAAAAATTACTAATTTCATATTAAATAAAATAAAAATTGATATAGATATGCACCATTAGTTTATTTTGAACTTAAATAATTGTGTCAGTAAAAATATCACTAAAAGGCTTATTCATATGTATATAATGAATACTAAATACAGGTTTACTCTTGATCAAATCATAATTATCATAATGACCTCATAGATTGTACTTACATAACCCATTGTTGGCATTAATGCTGTTGGCAATTTATTATTTGGAATCTAATATAATAAAATTTTAATTAAACAATGTTTGTACATGGGAGATATCTAACAAATAAAATATATGAGGTACATTATTTAGAATATTTCATCATATCAGTTTTTAACTGTCTACTGCTGAACATAAACCTCCACTTTGGGGGATATTGCCTGTAGTTGCCACGCTTGACAACTGCAGTTAGGCTTTATACATGTTTTAAGAGGGATGCTCCTGCTCATTCCTTGTCTTACCTTAATCGCCTCTTACGACACCGGGAAGGAGTGGTTTATACTATGCCGTACCACATGGCAGAGAATTATATTTAGAATATTTGCTAACACAAAAACAATAATTTTTAGAAATTTTTACTATCTGCATGCTTGTTCCAGTACCAAGCAAAAATTACTGCATCAATTTGGATGTAATTTTTGTAGATGACTCAGTCTAACTAAAAAACTAATGAAGTGGATATGCCTTCCCATTGAATTACATCTAGAAGTGATCTATTTAATTGATTTTCCTCTTTTTTAAATCCACATCATAATTTAAAGTAGAGGGCAAAAAGCTAGTTTGTAATAAATTGATTCATTACAGAGGATTTTAAAATATTTATAAATATTAATTTTATACTCAAAACCCATGCATTACTGTATCAAACCATGCTAATAAAGTGTAATTAACCATGAAGGTAATTTGTATTGCCTCATTTGACTATGCAACAATTGCATATAACATTGAACTTTAATGACATAACAATAAGGAGAAATTTTAATTGTGTTGCTTCCACCTTGACCATGTTTTTATATAAACAACCCAATTACCTACTATTTAGTGTTATCACAAGAAATAGGTAGCTACTTTCTGGTACTACTGTTGTTCAGTGTTGTCTGTTTACTAGATTACAAAGACTGATTTATTAGCCCTTGATTTGTAAATATGAATATGTTATTGGATGCTACATAAAGAAACAGTGTTAGCAAAGGGAATCTTATTGCTAGCAGTATGAGTAGCTGTGACTACAATTATTATCTTGATTTGAAACAACATTCATAATTGTATTTCATACTAAAAATTCTTATCAATATTGATTTACGACAAACATTATGTGATTTTTATTTCCATAGTTCAGATAATGTATACACATATTGACAGTTTGTGAGTAGATACTATATATGACTTTCAATTGCTGATTTTTGAATTATACTCTATTGGAAGAGAAATTTAATTGCTTTTAATCATTTTTACATATTGATTTACTTTGAAAAAAATAATTTCATTGATAGTTTAAAAAGTATCTTGTTGCATATAAATGTTTCAAATTTAGAAATAGTGAATTTATATTATTAAAATTATTTTTTGAAAACTAGCTAATTGACAAAAAGACAAAAATTACTAGATTCTAGATTCACAATTCCTACAGCAATGGTATAAGTTATACAAACTAATATAGGTTATATTACATTTAGTCAGAAAAATATTTACACTTGTGCAAAAGCAAAAAGTGAATGCAAAATTGCACCTGAACAAAGATAGACAAGGGTCACAACATTTACCTTTATATTCAACTTCTTATTATGCCAACACATATTAATTTATGACAATTATAATACTGTAAACAAAGCAATCAATAATTTACATTGTTCTTGCATTATAGATAACAAAAGCAATTTAACCTAAATGTTGGAACCATTTATACTGTTTAAATGGACATTTACATCCAATATTAATCTAACATTATGTTAATTAGATATTAAATGAAATATAATTGAGACATTTAAAAACACAAATCAAGTACCTGGTTCCTTAACCTAGTCAATCAAATTCGGTATAAAGAAAGTTCAAGTTTAAATGTTCTGAATGAACAAATTTTTAATGGGTGAAAATGAAATGATAAGCCCACCTGCACTATCAGTATATGCTGGCAGAGCACCAGTGGCAGATGATTGGTGTGGATGAAAGCAGGTCAGTTGGTTCATTGTGATAAATTTAACAAGAACCATGATTGTTTCCAGGGGGAACCACGTGGAGGTCAATTTGATAGGATATATTGTTAGCAATAGAGCTTTTGTTAGGATGAAGGTTCCTTCATTACAAACAATCCCTTTTCCTCCTAGAAGATTAAAGGTTATCTAGTTCTAGATTGTTCTATTAAAATCTTTTGTAAGTCTGTACTAAAGAGTATTATCCATAGCCGAAAATTATATATTGGGTATAGTAGTGAAAAAATCTTGAGGTAATAAAAATACTTACCGCCGTGTTCCAAATAGCACCGGATTTAGATTGAAGATCGGGAGTAAGTCGAACATAATTTGTAGTAACTATTGTGCTACCTAAAAAGTCCCAGTAAGGCACCGACATACCGCTCCCTGTAATCAAATAATAAGACGTATTATTCGAATAAATTCAACATAGTCATGCCAAGATCAAAGTCACTTAAGGATCAGGTCACTAACCTTGGTAAGGTTTTGTGAGCGAATGCTCTCTCCTGATGTAGTCTCGAGTATTCCATTCTGCGAGCACAGAATTCCACAATATAGAAATAAATATAGACAGTGCTAATTTAAACTTTCTGTGAAACATTTCTGTAAATTTGTAATACGTCGATGGAGCTAAATATTTCACTGACAAGTCAAACGCCAACGCCAAATCACAATTCGATTTTGAAGTTTGACAGCCGCAATTTAGTGTTGGTATAGAAGAAATAAATTTTACCTAACTATTTTGTAAAACAATTTTAAAAACGAAAAAGATTTTAAGATTATAAAATTTAACAAATCACAAATGCGTAAATTTCTGTAAATGTTGTAATTAAGGAAGTTATATTATGTAATGTAAATTAAACAAATACTAGATACAATTCATGAGAGGAATTTATTTATTACTGGCAACATTTTAAATATTTCTGTTATTACATTTTAGAAAAAACTGCCATCTGTACATACATAGAAACACTAAAGTTAACTTACAATACTATTTAATAAGAATAATACTTATTGATTACTAGGTTTCTTTATAAGATGGCGTTTTTAACAAGAATTAATAAAAGTTAAAAATTTGCCAGTTTTTCCAACTTGGAATAGTAATTCTTGTCTGTCTTATATTGGTTTACCTAGGCAAGGAGAGATTATAAGTACAGATGAAATCAGATCTGACAGAACATTTTTAAGAATTTACTAGGAGCTAAGTAATCATGATGCTTTCAAGGAAATTGTGTGTAAGTACATATCGCAAATAATGGGATCGTTATTTTTATGGATCTTCATTCATGAAATAGTAATTTCGCTTGCGCTATCGGAGTATCAGTGAGGGATTATTTAGTGACGATGAGCAGGTCACTTAGTTCAACATGACGAATTCATCGGGAATTAATCAGAATAGCTTCCAGGGGGATCGTGTGGAGATCGATCTGACGGAATATTTTTTTTTTTACAACATTGTTAGCAATAGGACTACTATAGTACATCAATAACCCCTTCTCTCTCTCTGGTGACAGGTGATATGCCTCTCACAGAATAGAAAAAAAATGTATTCTTTACATTATTTTGAGAAATCAAGAAAAAAAAGGACTTTTGGTGGCTTGTAGGATAATCAGGCGCTAAGTTGGAAATACCCAGAAAACCAATGTTGAGTGTGTCTTTTACAGTTCAATATGCCCACAAATACCCCACAAAGTTTCGATTCAATCCATCGAGCTGTTTCTTTGTTTTATTCAATCGAATTTTTGAAAAAAATTAAATGATCACGATTCTGACTTTAAATGATCATAATCTTTAACAAAATGCAAAAAAACGTTTTTTTTTTAAATTTTTTTATGCATTTTTTTTGGCAAAAATGTTTAAATTTATAAAAAAATGTGTTATTCGAAAAATTTTTTTTTTTTAAATTTTGGATTTATTTAATGACTTCGATTCTGTTATTGCATTCCATGATTTTCCTGATTTTTAAACTTCAGCTAAATGAAAATTTTACTTAAATTTAAAATAAAGTAGATATACCCAATCGAATTTCAAACTCGATCTACACTCTTTCCAGAAATTGTATATTGTTAATTTTCGTGAACTCTTACAACGCTAAAAAACAGTTTTTTTTTTAATTTGGGTAATGCTGATCCCGGCGGTAGTTTTTTTTTTTATTTTTCCCTTAATTTTTTCCTCTAGTGTATAACACATACGTTACCAGTGAGGGATGATAGGTGTGAATGAAAAGGCAAGTCAGTTAGCTCATCGTGATAAATACACCTGGAATTTAGTACGATGGTTTTCAGGGGGAGGGGGCGGGAAGGTTGACCTGACAAGGTATACTAACAATGGAACTGGCAGTCCGCATTACTAATAATCACTTTCCCCCTAAGATAATGACGTTATGCCTCCGTACTATGTAATTTCACTGTTATATCTCACTATCAAAACGAAACAATCATGCAAGGACAGCCGCTTTACTGCTGAAACACGGAAGGGACAAAGGTATACATGACTAAAATATAACAACGTATCTACCTTAGGCAAGTATGACCACTAACCTGACAAATATTTAAAAAATTAACATAATAAATATAAAGGTATATTAGGGTTTCAGTAGAAACCCTAATATACACACACACACACACACACACACATCGTTACACCCCTGGTGTTGCAGACGCCCATAGGTTACAGAATCGATTACCGTCAGACGGACTGTATCCTTGTTTATTTATGTGGTATAACAAAAAAATGTAAAAAATATACACAGGTAATGTGTACTGCATGCATGTCATGTGAACAGTTAGTCTGCAGGTTTACTAAACGTCTTAAACGACTTGCATCGAAAATACCACAAATTTGTGTCAAATATCTTTAATCAGTGTATGTTGCCAATGAAACTGAAAGATGATCTTATACTGTTAGCCATATAAGGACGTCCTGAGTCGCTCAGCGAATTAAGAAGATGTCCTATACTTAGCGTTTTATTGCGTGATAGAATCTGAAAAAGGAAATTAGAATTAAAGTTACCGATATCCAGAGATTCAGCTAGCTAAAGTGATTATGAGTCGGCCATAGTTCGAACAATTGATAAGCAACGAGGAAAAAAGGAAGGAATATAAATAAAAATAAGGCGTCCCTTATGAAATGAAGATGTCAAAGAGAAATAAATTTCAAAAATTTTACACATAGTCAATGGACGAAAGCATGGCCGCACTTTATTTTTACCATAATTTAATCAGTAGTTGATCTTGAATAAATTGTAGTGAAGATGATGATGATAGAAATTAGAATGACAAAAAAGCTGACAGTCGACCTGATAGGCGATGGTTATCGCTTAGGTATGATTTAATATTACGAAATAATAACAGTGTCAAATGTCTGTCTGAAAATCAGTAATCTTAATTGATAAAACGAAACCCTAGTGATGAATACGAAGGAGGCGGTACAGTTCTTACGTCGGACATCGGATAAATCTTTGGCATCAACAGCAAGGGCGTGGCAGCGATTCCAATTTTATTGCGAGCTAAAATATCAGCTGATATTTTAAAAGCCAAAAAGTTCCAAATAAGTCGTGGTAGGTAACGATTAATTAATCAGAGATATGTCGAAATTCGCCATTGCCCTAAAGATCAGCTTGTAAGGGCAAGCCTCACTTTCACTGTTCGTGATGGATGCATCTACTTTCACTATTTTGCTACATATACCCGTGTAAGGTCAAAACCACCGAGCCCGAGGTCAGTGACATTTTTACTTGCAACTTTTACCACTACGCTACTTGAAGATGGGAAATGTAGAAGTTAATTTCAACAGAAATTATGCTGACTGTGTTGTTTTGATCAATTACATGTAAACCTGAGATATTTAAAGCAAAAAACATACTATTTAAAAGTTAGATAATTTTCCATCCACCACCAGTTGATCCAATAAATTGTAAAATATTTATATTAATAACTAGAAATATGAAAACTATTGTTTACAACAATATTTTTCTATATCTTTTTCAATATTTATAAAGCTCTATAAAGTGCTTAAAATTTTCTGATTTCTGGTTCATTTGACTAGACGACGTTACCCTTTTACCATTGTTCCTTTTTGGGTACAGCAACACATTTTATTTTTCTACAAATCTAGGTATGTAGATTAATGAAGAGTCAGATTGTAGATCCAAGCGAAATTATCAGTTGAGGTAAGTTCAAGCGTAAACCCATCTTTTAATAAAAAAAGAAGACTTTTTGAGACCCATCAACGTTTAAAAGTTTAAGATGCCTTCTATTAGTTTTAGATATCAGGATTTGATACTACAACCATTAAAGCAAGATTGTATATTCCCGTCAGGTTCTTCACTGGGAAAATGCGGTAAGAACTATTGAGATTTCACTTTTTGTGTTGGCATTGGACAAAAGTCTTTATAGACTTTACACACTTCTTATTTTATTCATATGCATAGCCTCATCATGCAACCTTCCACTTAAGCGTTATACATATATTAAGTATAAATATTTCCTCAACTTTTCAGGCGACTTTTATTTTATTTTTCATAAATATTCATTTTTATTACAACTCTTAAATTAATAGATATAAGATATAGTATATTGAAAATCACACTGTAAAGATAGGTTTCAAGAATAATATATGTAACAAAATTTTGCAATAAGGACTTCGTCGTTTTCGAGTTATCTAATACTTTTCCACAAATCTTTAAAATTTTCATATTAAACATATGTTTAAATATATAAAACTTAAATAGTTATGATGGACATGAAAAAGATCATACCACCATTCACCTACTCCAGTCTGAAGAACGGTTTGACCCATTTTTAAGATTCCCTCTTACCTTCACTGCCCTAAAATGATGACGTCATAACTTTCACAGCATAGATTAATGAAAGTGACAGATAAAACCAAAAGTGGTGCCACCCCGAAGGCCAACAGCTCGACCTACGACAATAAATGGTGAGTATTTGGGTCAGAGAAAGCAGTGAAAGTCTCTGTTTGACCGTGATCTACTCTACTCTCTTCCTATAAGCGTGGACTTGACTTTGACAGTCTCTTTTGGTAATAAACAATTTCAAACTGTATCTTCTAAAAATTTAGATTCAATTTTGGCAGTGACAATGTTTATGTAGGTTAAAGATAATAATGATTTCGAGTAGTTGATTTCTTTTTGATTGTTATATTTAACCCCGACAAAGCAAGCACTTGCAGCTTCTTTAATAAATTATTATGATTTGTTTGAGGCTAAGCATATTTATTGTAATACCATAGTTGCAAAATATAATATTATTATGGTAAAGAATATTTACATCGATATCTTTTGTTTTATATATTGTAGTAAACAAACTATTAAAGTATCTTTCAGTGTTTTAATAATAAATAATTCTCTTGATCTATCAAATCTTCTAGGATATAGGAACGTAAATTATGTTATTTGTGATGCATGATCTAATCATTTAATCGGCTAGTTATAAAATTTTTCAAGTAAGGAGTGTAGTAGTAGTATAATATCGTAAGAAGTGATTAAGGAAGCGAAACTAATAGGAAAAGAAGTAGTATTAGAACAAAAAATAGTTATATACATTAGTACAAAAGAAGGAAATTTGGAAGCCAGTTAGTTAAGGTAATAGTTTATCATATCCTTTTCGTTAGAGAGGAAACAAGAGACACATGCGTAGTAATGGATAATTGAGAATT